GGTGACAACGCAAATGGTTGGGACAGAAGTACCTGATTCCAGAGAGAAGATTCCCTCTGCACCATTACTCAAAGACGATGCAAGACCGAAGACCGATGCTACCAGTCTCTTGAGAAAGATGTACCCAGAGCTAGATACGTCCACTACTTCGTAAAAGGACTGGATTGTAAACCATACAACGTAGACGACCGAATCCACTAGCAGAAGACGAACCGTGTAAATAATTTTAAAAGTGACCCTATGAACTGTGTAAATAGAATTGTATAAACATTTGCGTTCTTACCCAGTATTGAGGAACAACTTACTATGATGGTGATGGAAATAAAACATGAACTATGTATACCGAAATATTGAACTTATGATTAGAATGAACTATGTGTAAATATATCCAGCTATTAGACTTGATGAATGTGATGAACTTATTATATCATGATATTGGACTCGTAGAACTTTATAAACTTTAGATATGTGGTGATGGTTACCGGAAACCTTACAATAAACTATTAGAATAACCTACAGGAAGAAAAATACCGTATTTTATTGAACTTTCGTTCTATTTTGGAGGGAGGGCATTATGTAACACAATTGTGTTCCATACGATAATCATCAGGAAGTAACTACATACAGCAAAACCGAGACGATTACATGTAACCTTTAGACACTTAATAACAATCTGTACGAATATTATTGACATATATCCTGCAGCCACTAAATGACCATGTCTACTGTGAAATAACATGTATCCGTCAGGGGTTAATTGCATAGTTTGACAATTAACCACAGACTAGTATTACTCCACAACCAGACTACTACGTAACCGGCCTACAGCTATGGACCGTTTGTATGGACCACTAGACTATATAAGATCTCTCATTTTGGACTTCAAGACACAATTCGATCACACCAGAATTCGTCAGATCTCGGCCAGTGTCTCAGTGAAAAACATTTATTTGAACTTTTAATCGCTCTTTGAATACTTGTAAATTAAGCAATAAATTCTAATTGACAAGTATTAGTTAACTTAATTGACTTCGCAACATCATGACATTCTTTGCTTAAAGCTTGAAATTTATGGATTTAGTGAGGCTACTGTTAGTTTTTTCAAGTCATACCTGAATAACAGAAAACAGCAGGTAAACATTTGTAATGTTTACTCTAAACAACAACATGTAAAATTTGGTGTACCCCAAGGTTCTATACTTGGTCCTCTATTGTTTGTGCTATTTATAAACGACCTTCCCTTATGCATTGAAAATTGTGAAACAGACCTATATGCTGATGACACCACTCTTCAGAAATCAGGGAAAAACATAGAAAATATACATGATGATGTTCAAGAAGATTTATACAGGGTTGAAGAGTGGTGCAAAATGAATAGCATGTTCATTAATGCAAACAAAACAAAATGTTTAGTTACTGGAACAAAGCAGAAACTATCAATTCAGACTTATCAACCAAACTTGATAATAAATTCAAAAGTATTACAAAATTCTTCATGTGAAAAATTATTAGGTGTTAAAATTGACAGCACACTTAGCTGGAGAAATCAAATTGACCAAGTTTGTGCTAATATATCATCCAGAATATACCTTCTTTCTAAAATAAAGAAATTTTTAGATATAAATGCAAGGAAAACATATTACAATGGGTATATTCTGCCCCTGATTGACTACTGCTGTATTATTTGGGGTGAATGTAAAAATGAAGGGATAACAAGAATTTTAAAACTCCAAAAAAGGGCAGCAAGATTAATTCTAGATGCAGATCCTTTATCCCCCTCAGCCCCCTTATTTAAAGAACTTGGGTGGATGACAGTTGACAATAGAATCAAATACCACAAATATTTACTTCTATATAAATGTATGCGTATGGAAGCTCCAATGTACCTAGTTCAAAGTTTAAACTGAAATCAGATAATAATCCTTACTCCTTGAGAGGTGTCACTCAAGGTAATATGATAGTTCCTAAACCAAAAGCTGAGCTATTTAAGAAATCTTTTGTTTATTCTGGATCAGTGTTATGGAATGGACTACCACACAAAATGCGTAAAGCTCAAAACGCTTATACTTTTAAACAAAGTATCAAGAAGTACTTAACACAGTCCTGATAAGATTATGTTTTCTACAATGTATTTGTATATTCTTTTATTTTTATTTTTATTTGATTTTTTGACTACATGTGCATCTTGAACAGCCTTATATCTTATCATGTTAGTAATATTACATTGAACTAATTGACTGTAAATTAACTATGTGTAAATATCTGTTTTTGATTGTATTGTAATTTGTATGTGAGGGCCTCAGGGAAGATTAGTCTATTGTAACTAACTGAGTTTACCCTCTTTAAATAAAGAATTTATTATTATTATTATTATTAAAGTTTAATTAATTAACCCTGTCAGAAAGTAAAGATTATCTACACATTTGAGTTTTTAAATAATTCAAGTGAAATAATATTTATCCACATCAAGCTGGTGCAAAGGATATGATAAACTAGTATGCACTTCTGCTAATTGTTAAAAAGTTTTGTTGATGTTGTTGTTCGACACTAACCTCAACAGAATGCACGCACATTTAAATAAATAGAAGTTCTGGTTTCATTCATTCTTTCTGTAAACAAGCATTGTTCACTATTCAGATCACCAGTTATGACATAACCTACCCGAATGCACGCACATTTAATAAATAAATGGAAGTTCGGGTTCATTCATTCTGTCTGTGAACAGGCACTGTCCACTATTCAGATCACCAAGCTATGACATGACTTACCTGTTCTTTAAAAGGGTAAATGCAAGTTTTAAAAAACATGTTTATAAAGTATTTCAATAGTATTGCGAAATAGTTGTTTACGAATGCATTATTACTCAGGCATATGTTACGTTTATGTAATATTCCAAATTTAAATATAACCTTAATTACATTCTCAGTAAATAATCCATAGGTATAAAGTGGAGATCTACCTTGATGTATATGTCTCTGAGATGTATCGGGGTATGTGAGGTGAATAACCTGTTCATATACATGTAATGTGAACAGTTCGAAACAAGTTCAAGGATTTAAAATATTTAATGCAATTCACAACTTTGTATAATTTATGTTAATGAGATGATGACTTTTCTTGATAGTATCGGCTTTGTTTTGATTGGGGAATTTATTTATGAAACATAAAATATTTTACAGTCTGGAAATTTTCTTAGGTCGCTTGAGTATGTCAGACATATGAAAACCTTTACACGAACCATCTTTATAACTTTATAACTATTGATTGTGGTTAGCTTAACATCCTGATGGATTTTTTTTTTAGACATATGCAGGACGACCAGGAGATATTACAAATTTCTGCTGCATTTGTTTCACTAATGGGTTCCATACTTGAAAGTTGGAGAAGTCTTTTGGATGTAAAACTTATCACAATATAAAGATTTTTCAAGTTTTGTTTTGTATACGTGATTATAAAATGTTATTTTGACGCTCTATGTATTTACATTTTAAATTGCTAATTAATGCATTTGATTACATGTTCAATGTTACGACAACATGTTGATCCTCAAAGAACACAAAAAAGCTGTCATTCTGTTAATTTAAGTTTTAAAATAACTATACATTTGAAATAAATTTAGGAGAAATTACTCCTACCGTTTATACCGTTTATACCAAATAAATCCGCTATAGTACGATTCTGGAAAATTGGTCGACGGGGATGAAGGGCTGGAATTTAGACCGTTATGGTTAAAAAGTTTCCTTATAGTAGTTCAAATACAACCCTTCAAAGATTTACTGCAAGGGTTCTTTCATGTGCAAATTAGCGACACTCTTCTTTGATGGGACTTTGGATTCACTGTTCCAATCTCGAGGACGTGTTTGCATATTTGTACATTCCACAAATTTGGATGACCCGGCAGCAGACACAGCTCGCACAATGTAGGACTTTGAACGACTAACGGCAATCCCCTCGTACATAATTAAAACTGTAAAACTAACAGCAGAAGGGAAGGGGAAATCATTTATGAGAGAGAATCGGGAACAAACGGATTAAATTTATTTTTTCACAGTGCGAACATTTAAAGTATAAAGGGCTCCTACGCATCGGTCAATTTTATTTTACTCCAATAAAGCTTCAAATTAAAAACATTTAATTTTAAATAAACTCATCATAGATACTAGGCTTAACATTGTGTACAAAAGACTCATCACTGACGCTCGAATAATAAAAGCAAAATAAAAGCAAAATAAAGTACAAGTTTGAGAGCATTGAAGACCCAAAATTCCGAAACTACATCAACCACATATCCTTTCTGTTCACGTTCGTATTAACCTTCATACTACAATGTGTTCTTTTCTTTTACGTATTGTTTTTACTACATCTGGATATATTAATTTTGAGTAGTCTCTTCTAGCATTGATTTTAGTATTTCATATTGATTTTACATTCTTCCTTTTTCTAGTTTTAAGGTATTCTATGTCCGTTGCCGAGATAATTTAATATAATATATTTTCCACTATTGATTTAAAAATTCGAATTTTACATGAAATATGAATATTTGTATTAGCAAATACGATTTAAATTATATAGTTTCACATTAAACGTTGAATTTAAAATATATACAGATAAAACATACTTTTGAGCTATACTAAAAAAGAGGGACGAAAGATACCAGAGGGACAGTCAAACTCATAGATCAAAAACAAACTGACAACGCCATGGCCAAAAATAAAAAGACAAATAGACAAATTATAGTACAGATAAAATTAGGACAAATTCTCTTAAATTCTTCGATAACTTGTATCTTTTTTCTACAAATCATTACTATCCTTTCTAAAGCAAATACAAGACAGTACAATCAACTCTTTAAAAACTAAATTAATTTAAATGTTTAAAAATAAATTTATTTCATTTAAATTCTGAGGTCACGACACATTTACCTGATGGTTTCATTTTCCATGTCTTACTTATAAATTTCTTTTATAACAAAACATCTTTGTACACCTGGTATTCGAACAATCGACATCAAACTTATCACACCTCTGTATATATAATAATATGATCACTTTAAATTTCTCACAATGTGGTCAGAAGTAGTAACTCTGGACAAGTAAACATTAAGGTCTTATAAGGTCAAAAGTCTGGTAAATAAAATATATAGAATTCACCGAGGCGTGACGAGTCTGTACATACACAGTAGCAATGGAACAGGTAAGACACATTTTATTTATCCCGTTATTTCAGACATACTTAATTATAGAGATCAATTCATCATATCATTTGACAAAGAAATCACACAAAATTTCATTTTAACAAGAAGAAAAACCTAAAGTCTTTGAATATTATATTTGATATATAGATAAGTATTTCACATCGTGATTTGCGTTTCTGAATTTTTTTGCATGTACTGTACTGTGAGCACTGGGAGGTCTGCCATAAACCATCCAGTTATTGAATTTTACGGATATTTCAAGTAGACATAGGAAATGTAAAACAAATATTCATCAAAAGCAAAATAAAAAAACGGGAAAGTGAATATCTACACTTATAGATTAAAAAACAGTTTAGTTAAAGTGCATTCAAGAGATACAACAGAAGTATTTAAGTGGTAATAGTTTATTCATGTTGGATAACCATACAGCACATCTTTTCGTTTTAAATGTTCACCGTCTCATTGCAAATCCCGATTGTGTTCAATATACATAAAAATTATGATTACTTAAAATATTCGACATTCAGTTTAAGGTGCAAAGAGCGTGATTAGTAAGCGCCGGTAAATCGGATAAAGATGTAGGTTCAATTTCCCCTAATTTGTTTCATTCACAGGGTCAAAATGTAAAAGTTGCCAAATGCTAATGAAATTGGAATATTAAAGAGTCTTTATACAGTATTTGAAATATTTTCAACATATTACATATTTCCATAACTTAAATATTGTGAACGCTACATATTCCTGTTGAAGGCATCCGGCTTTAGGTGGGGTTCGTATTGCTCATTCTTTATTTTTCTATGTTTTTGTAAACTGTTTGTTTTTAGCTCACCTTTCCAAAGGAAATGTGAGCTTTTGCCATCACTTGGCGTCGTCGTCCGTCCGGTGTAAACTATTTCAAACATCTTCTCCTCTGAAACAACTGAACCAATTCCAACCAAACTTAAGCTGAATGAACCTTATCGTATCTAGAATAAAGTTTGTGTTTAATTTTCTGTTTCGTCAAAAAACATGGCCGCCATGGCTTAAAATAGAACATAGGGGTAAAATGCAGTTTTTGGCTTATATCTCAAAAACTAAAGCATTTAGAGCAAATCTGACATGGGGTAAAACTGTTCAAAACTTGGGCTGAATGAGTTTTAGAGTATCTAGTATACATTTTGTATTTTATTTCCTTGTACGTCAAGAAACATAGCCACTATGGCTAAAATGGAACATAGGGGTAAAATGCTTTTTTTTTTTGCTTTTGTGAAAATATGACAGATACAAAGAACATTTAAATGGCATTTTTAAGCCACTCATTAATATATATTGAAAAGCAAAAATAATCATTGATGAAAGATTTAAGCAAAAAATTACAGGTGAGCGATTCAGGCTCTTGAGAGCCTCTTGTTTGGTATTTTTCTTCTTTTTTTTTGCCTTGGCGTTGTCAGTTTATTTTCGACTTTCGAGTTTGAATGTTCCTTTGGTATCTTTCGTCTCTCTTTTGATACGAAATTGCAAATTTTACATGTTTTTGTGAACTTTTGCATCGGAGTACGTAGCTACACAAGATAAATAATTTAAGGATGTTCGCTACTCTTGTTTTTGACTTTTTGTTAGATATTCAGAATCCTCTAGTTTTATCCATGTTAGTGCCAATAAAAATTTTCCCCGCTAACCCTTACTTTTCTTTTCATAATTTTATTACATATTGTTGAAAAAGCCGTTTTTGAAAATCTTATATAAACCTTGTTATTTTTTCATAGTTTTTGAAAGAAAAAAATATATGAATAATCTAGAGAGAAAACAGTTCTCGCCAAATTTTCAATGGCTTATATCTCGAAAACAAGCACCCTTAATTTTTTTCTGCTCTTTTAGTTCCTTTATTTATATACTATCAATTTATAACAGTCTTTTAAAAAGCTTGTTATTTTAACAGAGAAGCGAACATTCTTAAATCAAAAAACATATTATACAACTTTAAGGCTAACACAATTTGGGGTTAGTTAAGAATGTCCTTAAAAAAAAGGAGATGAGGTATGATTGCAAATGAGACAACTATCCACCTAAGTTCAAATAAAATGTATGTAAGAAATTATAGGCAACCGTACTACCTTTAACAATGAGAAAAACCCATACCGTATAGTCGGCTATAAAAGGCCCAGACATGAAAAATATGAAACAATTTAATTGAGAAAACGAACGGCCTAATTTATAACAAAACAATTAACGAAAAACAAATAAGACAGACATGAACCAACGACAACCACTGAACTACAGCCTCCTGACTTGAGACAGGCACATAAAGAATGTGTTGGGGTTAAAGATGTTTGTGAGCGCTCAACCCTCCCCCTAACCTGGGACAGTGGTGTAACAGCACAACATAAGAACAAACTATAAAAATCATTTGAAAAAGGCTTAACTCATCAGATCGATACAAAGCAGAAAAACATCAAACATAAACACAGACATAGTACATTTTTTGGATACATATTCAATTTTCATTTAGCTATCTTAATAAGGTGTTTTGTGATCTGTAAAGAAATTGGCCATAACATTGAAAGAATCTCAAAATACACAAATTGGGCTGTGATACTGTGAATTTAAGCAAAGATTAAAAGAAGTTTTGAAAACGTCCCTTGTGTGAAATAAATTAAAGGGGTTTCCGTTAGATTATGCCGGAATATGAATATTAAATCCGATGCTTTGTGTAGGGAGTAAGTCACGATTTCTGCATGTTAAATAACCCAGAAAACATTAAAATCAACGGAAAAAACATCTGACATTGTGCATCTCCTGTTTTATTTCCAATCCCAAGGTTTACTGGGGAACAGAAATATAATAACGTTCTATTACAACTTCTTACATGGTCTTGTCTGTCTTTCTTCTATTTGTGGTTTTTGATTTACCTTTGGTATCTTCATAACTTTATTTCACAGAATCTCATATTGTACCATTGTCCTTTTCGAGTTTTAGTTTTTATCCAAATAATTTTCGAGATTTCCTGTTGCGAAACATTGACAACTAACAGAGAAAGGAAATGTGGCGCAATTGCAACGGAGTCAACTATTCTCAAAAGATAAAAGGACAAGGACGCCAAAATCTATAGCTATAGGTCATAGTTCGACTAACAACAATGAACCAAGGAGACAACTATCCACAAGAAATCAAAGGACAAGGACGTCAACAACTACAGGTCACAGTATTAGTACGACCTTTGACTATGATCAAAACCGATACCGTAAAGTAAGCGATAAAGACTCAAGATAACAAAATGTGAACAAAACAGCAATAGTTAATTATAAACTAACGGACTATCTAAGCCTACATCGAACGAGAAACAATCCTGACAGACGGCACTAAACGACAATCACTGGGCTACTAATCAGTCTTAATTTTCGAGATGATACTTCTTAATGACAAATATAATGCAACAATAGAAGTATACTGAAGTACTCCGAATATAATGATCGTCCTGAATATGCATGAAATATTTGCCACTGGACGTAAAGAAACCATTAATCAATCATTCGAATATCATGGTAGATAAAAAGATCTTATGTTAAGAAACCAAGAAAAGAAATGGATGATTTTATAAATGAGGTTGTCAATTTAAATCTCGAAATACTGACGACAATTTTAAATATCTAATATATATATACTGAGTTTATGGATTGTAACACATACCAGTATTTGACGATATTTGATAGACGGGTGATCCATCGAAGAACGTGAAATATTATTTACTCTCCTTTTAGACTGCGATGCAGATATAAAGAGACAGCGTTTGATAAAGGTAATGGCGGATGAAAAAAAAATACGAACATTCCCCATTTCCCATGTTATAACAGGAGACCTTAACATCGTTCGCGACCGAGAGTTAAAATCATTCCTCAGTAAAGAAACCTAAATATCGTCCCCCGTCAATTATTAATTGGAATGAGTGTCGTAATATCATCCACGACTCACTTCGTGCTTACTCTTTGAAATGGATAAAACGGGAAAAAGCTGACTAAAAATCTTTGGACTCTTTTTTTAATTCAGTAATGAAGATAGTTGATATACGTATACAACATTTTAAAGAACATTTTACTCTTAACAACAACCATAAAAATCCTATTTCTCGTATCAAACATAAACTAAAAGAACTAGCCAAGGAATTTGTTTTTGTCCCGGCTGATAAAGCTGCTAATAATATCATTATAGTTTGACGTAAATTTTACATTGAGGTTCTGCAAAAGGAAATCACGAATTCACCAACATTCCAACTGACTTCATTTTCAGAAAACGATATCTGTAACAAACATAAACTATTAGCTACTTCTTTACAAGCAGAGCCAAATACAATGAAAGTCCCAACTATGTACTGGCTTCCGAAGCTACACAAATCACCTTACAAATATAGATTTATTTCGTCTTCAAGTCATTGTTCCACTACTAAATTGTCTATTCTACTTACTAGTACACTTGGTACAATCAAAAACCTGATAATAAATTGTTCAAATAAGGCCTTTGAAAATAGTGGAATTAACTACATATTTTGGAGTGTCAAAAACTCGTTGGAAGTACTTGATAAATTGCATGCATATATTGGTGATTTTGAATCTGTTCAAACTTTTGATTTTTCTACCCTATATACCACTTTGCCTCAAATTCACACACCTAATTAAATGGGCATTTAAAAAGTCGGAATGCGAATACATATGTTCAAACTCTTTTAGGCCATTTTTAGTAGCAACAAACAAAAGAGCTATGTCAATTGGACATGCTTTGATACTATATCTGCCCTTGAATTTTTACTTGATAACATTTTTATTCGCTTTGGAGATTCCGTATATCGTCAAATTATCGGAATTCTAATGGGGACTAACTGTGCATCACTTATTGCGGACCTGTTTTTGCATTGTTATGAGTTACAATTTATGACTAAAATCAGCAAAGACCCATCGAAACAACATCTGATACAAAAATTTAACAATACTTTTAGATATTTGGATGATATATTGGCTCTCAATAATGACGACTTCAGTATGTATACTAAAGAAATTTATCCTGTTGAACTTACTTTAAATACAGCTAATACTAACAATGACCACTGTCCTTTCCTCGATCTTGATATCTATATCATTAACGGGAAGCTTAATACAAAAATTTATGATAAAAGAGATGATTTTTCATTTCCTATCGTTAATTATCCATTTTTAGATGGTGACGTTCCCTTGTCACCATCTTATGGTGTTTATATATCTCAACTTGTGCGATTCGCTCGTGTATGTAACAACGTATTAGATTTTAGCGAGAAAAATGTATGTATTACTGAAAAATTATTACACCAGGGTTTTCGATATCATAAACTAGTCAAAACATTTACTAAATTTTATCATCGGTATAAGGACATCATTCGTAAATATAACTCAACATGCAGACATCTTATACGTTCGGGTATTTCACATCCAATCTTTTATGGTAATATTCTTTACAAAGCACAAAATTGTCAGTATTCACCTCAAAAGCTAACAAAACCTTTAAACAGACTTATTAAGAAGGGATATAGTTACGATACTGTTGTCAGGTCATTAAAGATTGCATATTTTGGCTTTAATATTGATTCACTTATAGGGTCTTTGCATCGGAATTAAACATATTTATTCTAAAACCAGTTGTTGGCATGACACGGGTTATGTTCTTCTCATATATTTTATGATGGTATAATACTAAACCCCTAACAGGAGGGATTGTGCCTGATATTCATATGATAAAGACATAATCTTTTAATCAGTTTAATTGAGGTCTGGAGCTGGCATGTCAGAAACTGCTAGTAGTTGTTATTTATGTATTATTGTCATTTTGTTTATTTTCTTTTGTTTCCTATTCTGACATCGGACTCTGACTTCTCTTAAACTGGGTTTTACTGTGCGTACTGTTGTACGTTTGTTTTTTCTACATTGGCTAGAGGTATAGGGGGAGGGTTGACATCTCAAAAAACATGTTTAACCCCGCCGCATTTTTGCGCCTGTCCCAAGTCAGGAGCCTCTGGCCTTTGTTAGTCTTGTATCATTTTTAATTTTAGTTTCTTGTGTATAATTTGGAGTTTAGTATGACGTTCATTATCACTGAACTAGTACTAGTATACATATTTGTTTAGGGGCCAGCTGAAGGACGCCTCCGGGTGCGGGAGTTTCTCGCTGCATTGAAGACCCATTGGTGGCCTTCGGCTGTTATCTGCTCTATGGTCGGGTTGTTGTCTCTTTGACACATTCCCCATTTCCATTCTCAATTTTATTAGTGTCATGTTGATCAAAGTAAAGTAGGTAATGGAACATAACTATAATAAATGACCACTGTTTCATTCAGTTTTGTCAATTGAATTTAAATGAAGAGAAGACCATCTTCCTATTGAGCTTGCCTATGGTATCAATTGCAACATACATTTTTAACCGTATTTATACAAAAATCAAGAGCCTGTTTGAAAATTCTCCTATAAATAGTTTCCAGTTGTAGCGCATCAAAGCTGAATTCCTTCAAGTGAATAGGGAACACAAATTACTAAAAAAGGTAATATTACTATTTTTTTATATTAAGAGGAGTTTTGCAGAGCATATCAGAGAGTCTGGGTGGGTGGTCCTTCCTTACTTATTTTTTTAATTTTTTATACCATTTTTCTCTAATTTTTTTTTATTTTCCCCATTATTCTATATTCTTTATATATCAGCTCCCCATTTTTCTCTATTATTTTTTTTTTTTTTGCCTGTTTCTCTCTACTTTTCTTTATGTCCATTATTCTCCGCTTTTTGTCCATTAATCTCTTCTATTCTGTCCCATCCGCACTCTCATATCACGAATCTGCAATGTGATTTTATTTGTTTTCAGTTAAATGGAATTGAAAATAAAGGTTTTGAAAATGGTGTCGGGTGTAATGATGTCACGGTGGAAGTGAAAACAGATATCACCAAGAAGGTATACAAATGTAAATGAATAAAACATGTTATGAAAAAATAAGTATAAAAAAAGGAGTGATTAATGAGAAAAATCGTTTTGGAGACAATAAATAAAAGAGGAACAGCCAAATCTAAAAAAATAAGGGGGCTCCTATAAAAAAAAAAGGATTTTATAATTAGTAGGCATAATGTTTTTTTTCTCACATGGATGTTTGTCCTTCCAATTTAATTAATTATCTACATAATACGTTTAAACCCGAGAAGAGCCCCATGTCCAATTTACATTTTGGATAGAGGCCATTATTTCAATGATGGTATAATTTGGTGTCATCCTTCAATGATTATTTTATAGAAGGATTTCAACACATTTCAATAACAACAAAGACCATGATTATCCTTACTTTTAATTCCATAACTTACACAATTGGACAATTACGAAATGCGATAGCACAAACATTTGAAAAACCGGGTGGGAAAGAATTTATTTATGTTTTATTTAAATCTCACAAGATTTTATTACTGGTTTTATTACTGCTTCCAGGGTCATATAAAGGTTAAAATGTTTTGAAAATGGTGTCATTGATACAGTAACACAGCAGTGCTACAGAGTTCCACAGTTTACAACTGAGTGAAAGCTAATATCGAAGATTCATGCAATTTGAACTTTAATTCTTTCAATATGACCTGATCCCCCACAAAGGCCATTACAATGACTGCGCGGGGTGTATAAATACGCAACTACGTTCTCTGCACGTATTGAAACCACTCTATGGCAAGCTGTAATGCAAAATCTCTGTCAACGATTGCTTGTTGCAAGGCAAATGCTGCAGTCATTGATAATTGATAAAAACTACTGTGTATGCTAGCTATGGGACGGAGTCTAACTGATTTGTTTAATCTGGTTTATGAAGAGGTGACACACTAAAACATGTCTCCTTATTTAGTATAATAGATTCAGCCACCCTTATATATATAACAGACCTCTATCATGCAATATGAAATTCTGTAATTACAGTACTAAAAAAAGTATAGTGTTGAAATGATTTTGTGTTATGAAAACGTTTATCTGATATTGTAGAATGGAATTCCCTCGCATGATAATGGAACACTTTCAACATACACCAGCAATCCGGAAAACACGAAAATTGATAAGGTATTTATGTTGGACTTTTCCATGTCAATTATCAGGTTAATACCACTTCTGGTAGACTGTAAGTCCCCGTGGGTATTCTATGTTCACCGATAGTCAGTACTTCGGTACTGACGTGATTTATAATATATATTTCTAAAACTTCCTGTAATTATGTCGAGACTAAGGTTTCAACTCCCTCAGGCAAAGTTGACCTTAGATGAATTTGAACTTATGTCCCTCTTGTTCGAATAGCTTCTAACGTTTGTACATAATACATCTCTGGCTTTCAAATGTTTTGGTATGAGCGTTCTAGATGACGGTAAATCCAGAAAAGCATGCACAAATTGCTTAAGTGTGTATTTCAAGAAATGCCCGGATGGATCAGAAGAAAAAAATATAAACAATATACATTCTAAATAATGCCTATTTTTTATTATTTGAATTTGTATGTCAAGAGAATTGATTCTGTTTAATTTCCAGTTCAGGTGTTTCACTCATTAAACGTCACAAAGTTCTCGGAGTACAAAATTTGTGCTCGAAACAAACCCAAAAGATACCAAGGTTAACATGGCCATACATTATGTGAAGCTTTAAATTGCTCTATTCTATCAAATTTGTAAATAAATTGAACGGAGATATGTGCAATCACGAATAAAAAAAACTAGCATTATCATTTTATCTTCATGTAACCTTTAAACATGTCCTGTCGCTGAATAATTAATATTTGATGACTATGTTGATCGTACCTGCAATAAAAGATACCACAGATACAATAAATATAAAAATAAGAACATTTAGTATGATTACCAATTAGACAACTATCCGCTAAAGACCAAAATGAAATAGATGAAAGCAACATTAGCTGTCAAGTATGTTTCATAAGATGACTTAGATCTAGAAATTTGCAGTTGTGCTGTCAATGTATAAAATATTACTCAGAAAATATGACATGGTTTACTGTTGTTCTTAAAAGTTGTCAAAATTCCATAATTTTTTATCATTATATTATTATTAGATTTAAAGCCATGTTAATTTAAATTTTTTTGTATTCTAGCGTGATATCAGTGAAGATCTGGATTGGGGTTATGGTCCATTTAAGCCTAGGTACGTTTTAAAATGTTATATTAGTATATAAAATATTATATTTGGCGAGACTACCGTGTAATCTATTACTATATCTTGTGATTGAGTTGTGAAAAATATTCAATATACAAATCGTTTTTCCCCCAACAAAAGCACACTCTCATATTTGTTATACCAAGAAAACGACATTTAGAAATAACTAAATTATCACAGAAGTAAAACACGTTACATTTTTGTGAATTCTGTTATATGTTACTGAAAAGCCAAATATGTCAAGACGTTTGGAACTAGGTCCAAATAGAACATAAAAACAAGATTCCTGTTAAACAACGAAAAACGTGTATGTTATGTTGACTGTACTTTCTCGGTAACATTCAAGGTAAAACAAAGAAATATTCTACAAATTACACGGTCATGTAATATTTGCTATAGAAATCAACAAAATGAGTGGCATTCAACCGTAATTTATAATATATCGTCATGTTACATTGGTCAACGAAAGAACTAAATTCTATGAAAAAAAAATACCAGACTTACAAATATTTACGCACGACGCGCGTTTCATCTAAAAAAGACTCACCAGTGACACTCGAATCAAAAGAGTTACTTGAAAGGCAAAATAAAGTACAAAGTTGAAAAGCATTAAGGGCCAAACATTCCGAAATATTTTGCCAAATACAGCTAAGGTAATTTATTCCTGCGGTTAAACATCTTCGTATATCTATGAGAATTTCGAACGATTCAAAGTTTTGTAAACAGTTAATTCATAAATATGACAATATCAATGATATTTCATGTCGACACGGAAACTTAACCTTTCGACAACGCAGAGATTGAAATATAACTTGAAAAATTTGTTGAAGAGTTCTTGTAACACAATGGTCTTTGTCATCATCTTGTCTATATCGTCATTACGAATGAGAAGACGACTACAAGCTAGAAATGTTTGTTTTAACTTGACGACCATGGATTTAATGTACAAAAATTGAACAAAATGGCTTATGATTGCTAATTATTGCAGCAATTTACATGAAATGTTTTATTTCAGGTGTTTCCAAGTATTCAACAAAATGCATTTTTATATTCTCTTCGTCTCCATTATGTGCTTCATAGAAGGATTTGCAGTAAATGGAATAGCTAATTCAGCAATACCATCATTAGAGAGACAATTTAAACTTCCGTCAACGAAGTCTGCGCTCATTCCAAGCTCTATGGATATAGGGTCATTGATAGTAGTGTTGTTTGTAACTTTCATCGGCGGACGATATAATAAGGCGGCAATAGTAGCAGGTGGAACTGTTGTCATGGCACTGGGCTCTTTCGTGTTTTTGATTCCACATTTTATAGATCAATACACTTACGTTGGTAAATACTTTAGCTATTTTTTTATGCACAATTAAATCTTTGTAATGATCAAAAGATGAAGAATAACACATAACAATATCCAACATTTCCTTTCATTCAAATTCGGGTTTAAATTCATGCACAGCCATGATAGATGTGGTAAGTAAGTGTACCGGTATGCATTTTTTTGTCTAATATTAAAATACATTTGACGATGGTGTTTCTTTTTGGTTGTGTGGAATTTTTGAATACAATCTGTGGTGATATTATTAAATTGTACTTGCAAAAGAAAAGATAACTTGCGGCAAACAAATCGTCACTTGACATAAGTACTAGTACTTTAGTCTCTCATTTTATGTTTTGTCGTTTGCATCTTCATGCAAACCAATTATATTTAATTGGATGACACAACTATACCTGTTATTAGTTGTTTTCCTTATATTTCCCGATGGCAATAGTATATACTAGTATTGTTATCTTGTAGAATATGCCACAGAGTACACATACAACTGTTCTGCCGGAAGTTCCTGGTCATCAGAATGTGACCCGGTTGGCGAGTCATATTTAGCTATATTTATGATAGCTAATATGCTTCACGGGGTTGGATTTACTACAATGTTTACATTAGGATCAGCATACATAGACGACAATGAAGATAATGCTAAAGCTGCTCTTCATATTGGTATGTGTAGTTTTGTTTCCATATTTAAGAAAAATGGTTTCGCTTTTAGTCATTTCATTTTGTGGATAATCAGTCATCTCAATATATACCACTCAGCCAAATGAAATCTAACGAACGATTGAATAAAAAACACTATTTGCACGGTTAAGGCTTTCCATTCCTTTTAATGTTAAATATACCAATTTTGGTAGTTGAATGTTGCCAGATCGACGGTTTTATGTTATATGTGTCAAAAATGGGAAAACAATGAGTTTAGATTTAAAAGCTGGATACGGTTATCATTGAAAAAATATATTAAGGAAGTATCTTAATAGTTATTATGATCTTTTGAATTCTTTCAGGCTTAACCTTTTCTGCATCCGCAGTGGGGACTGCAGTAGGATTTTTATCTGGTGGAGAAATATCACAAAATTACTATGTAGAATTCGACAGAGTGGATACAGACAGGTATTTGTTTTAACTAGTCTTCAAAAAATTTCCATAATTCCCGATATTTTTTTATGTTGATGTCAATATCGTTAATGTATAAATTTTAACTTTGTAATTTGAATGTGTACCTATTGTATTTTCTTACAATAGGTAAGCAGTTATTTAGAGTCCACCACTGTTATTTTTGCAGCTTCCTCGGACAAAGTTGACTAAAGACAATTTTGTATTTTCGATTAAGATCCTTTTCGTTTTATGGATTTAAGTTGTTTTGTTTTTTGTTTTATTTTTTGTTTCTTCTTGGATTCACAAAACTTTTGGTCACAATCATACCTGATGATCAGAAATATGTTATCCCCCCCCCCCTTTCCCCCTTTTGGTACCTTCCGCCTCATTTTGATAAATTTTTTTGCTCAGGTCACGATTGTCGTTCTGGTAGACCTTTTAGATTGGTTGATTGATGACTGCAAAACTTCCAGCGGCAAATATTACATGTATATTCAGGACAATGGCATGTAAATGAATATAACCTGCAGCTGATTTATACAAGACCAACACGCTGATTTGTATCTCACAAGGTCCTAGTCTACCACAGGAAAACATAAAGACAATAACAGTAGTTTTTATATGCTGCCACTCTAAAGAATAGAGTGTCAGCAAAAATATTTACTACTGCTTTAGAAATATCGTATGAATAGAAGCAAGAACACATTTAATAACTTAAAAGATTTAAGAAAATTTACTTTAAAAAATAGCACAAAAAATATAAAAGAAAAAATGGGATTCATGCCCCAAGAGCTTCTGATTGCAAGGAGGACTTAAGGAAAGGACGATACTAAAACGTATTATATTTTCGCATACGTGTGCGGCACAACATAAAACTAGACCTATTCAAAAACCATGTTTAGCCATTTCCGTATTTTGCACGAAATAGATCAGAGACAATTGATTGATTGATTGTTGTTGTTGTCTTAACGTCCAGTAGCAATTATTCAATGCATGTTCAGGACGAGAAACTATTAACAATTAATACAATATGAAGGTTCTGCAAGTTGAGACGGCAGGGAATAAGGTGGAGGAAATTGGACAGCCGCTTAAAAACAAAAGTATGTAGGATGGAGACAAAACTTTGCCTTGCAACAGGCCACCTACGGACCCTTCAAAGTGATATTACAGGGGTTCTTTGACGCGAAGAGAGTTCAGCACTTTCTTGACATTAGACATCAAAATAAAGGTCCCGATAATAACCAGACGTTGCTGCTAATTTATACAACCTGCTCAACCAAATGGACGCCCTTCTTTGGCAAGGATTTTATTGCCGATCGGAAGAAGACCAGTTATCATGCTCCTATATCTTAGTCGCCTTTGGGTAAAAAAGATCAATTGAAAATTGAGTTATTTTAATAGTCAGTACTTAAATTATAACAAAGAAAATAAATTACAATCGAAGTTTATAAAAAATAGATTCTGCTACAATACTAGTTGATTATGATTTGTATCTACTTAAAATTTTAAAAGGGGTTGCTTGGCGAGTTCTCTATTAGTTGAAAATCGAGAGTGGGTTACATCATAAATAATGGGATAGAGTTGAAAAATCGGTTATTCTTATGAAAATCTCAGATTGTAATATTCTGTTACGATTTGACGTTGACATTTTATTCAGTATGTGGGTTATCAAATATTATCCAAATGACCAGCAATACACAAATACCAAAGCATGTTTATTTAAACACACACGGTAGTATAGATCAAACAATTTAAAAAAAAATGCTTGGGTTAACCTTTGATTTTTCAGTATCGGCATAACGTTCATTGATCAACGGTGGGTAGGTGCCTGGTGGTTAGGGTTTGCAATCTCAATTGTAGCATTTGCTATCATAGCTGTACCTCTCTTTGGATTTCCTAAAAGACTTCCAGGTAATAAATTAAACTTTTTTCTTAAGGTAATTTAATTATCCAGAATTTTTATTATTATATACACCTCTATTATAAATTTCCAAAGTGCATACAAAGGTTGCATAATTTGGATCCGTACTGCGTGGAACCTAGGAAACACATTTGCAATATCATACTTGGTTATCAGGAATTTATATTACAAACTGAATCTGTTTTTCTGTGATGTTATGTTGATTTTGCATTTACGTTTGACCTATTATCTTCTATTCATGATTTAATCCGGTGCATTACAGATAAATACAGGTAAATGCAGGTACATGTAGATTATATTTTTTTATTTATTTATTTTACCATGGAAGTATTATGAATATATTCTTCCGTGATTAAACGATATACAAGTACAAGTACCCCGTTCGTTAGTCAAAGTCCCCTGCTGACCAACGAGGATGTGAAGGGGGATTTCGAGCAGGATAAGTCTGTTTTATTATGCACAAGCACTAAATTCTAGAAATATATACAGAAAAAAAATGTAAAAACAAAGCAAGCTCTTGACTTTGGTAATGTTGGATATTCCTTACCTTTCACGAGATATTGCCATTGTCAAACTCTTCAGGTCTTTCTCAATTAGAGTTTTTATGCCCCATTTATGGGCATTATGTTTTCGGTCTGTGCGTCCGTTCGTCCGTCTGTCCCGCTTCAGGTTAAAGTTTTTGGTCAAGGTAGTTTTTGATGAAGTTAAAGTCCAATCAACTTGAAACTTAGTACACATGTTCCCTATAATTTGATCTTTCTAATTTTAATGCCAAATTAGAGTTTTGACTCTCATTTCACGGTCCACTGAACATAGAAAATGATAGTGCGAGTGGGGCATCCGTGTACTATGGACATATTCTTGTTTCTTCTACATTAATCAACTCACAACGGACTTATTTCATAGGCCTAGCAGTTATATCGGCTGTGCTTTTCTCTTTACAACCGCAAAGATAATCTGTATACTAATACTAACAACCTTTTCCCCGATTTGTTTCTGACAATCGAAACTCCATGTGTGACGCAACTTTACAAAATCATTTACTAAAAACGATCACTATTCGGTAAAATTCGGAAAAAGAATACTATACACTCTAAGTTAGATATATGCCTTTAGCTGTTACGGGATTTATCATGATCACTTTATTTTTTTTCAGAATATATATCATGTATAAAATTTAAATTTACAAATATGTTCAAAATTAATAACTTAAGTCATATTTATTATGAATTATCTTTATTTTTACCTGCGGTATCTGTAAAATAAATGCGGGCAAATGTAATCAAAAGCTGCGCTAAAAGGTAATAAATTCAATCCCCAAATGCGCGCAAATGTACTGCGTCCATTTAATCAATGAACTCTATAGCAGACTGTCTCGCTTTTATGTCACATTCATATGGGAATCTTCTTCTTTATCAACTTGTTTTTATTCATTTGAGGCAGATTCAAACAGGAGCTTCTCAGGAAGAATAAAAAGTTGATGTCATTATCCTGTTACCTCACGTTCCGCCATACAGATGATGTCCTCTCACTAAATTATTCAAAGTTTTGGTGACTATGTTGTACACATCTATCCCATCGAACTTGGAATATGGGATACCTCAAATACAGAGAAGTGCGCCACATAAGTTGCCAATTAGGGTCGGTTGAGACAAAACTTTACGACAAAAGGAATAATTTCAACTTTCCAATTTAGAACTTTCAATTTCTAAGAAGCAACATTTCAGCAGCACCTGCATATGGAGTATATGTCTCCTAGTTGATACGATATTTTAGATCTTGCATTTTCTAGCATGATTTCTTCTTTAGAGAGTTGCTGCTTACAAGAAAGCTGTTGAACCAAGGTTTTCTAGGTGTCCAAGGTCACGAAATGTTAACGGACGCCATCACGATTTGGTTGACCGTTATGGAATATATGTCACAGATGACCACGGATATAATGGTCAAATGGTCGTCAGTTTCTCTTGACTTGTGAATTTTTAATGTCCCCTTGTTTTCTTTCGCCTATTTGTTATGTCTCCTTTTATTGGTTAAGATTTTTTTAGGTCATTTACCATGTATACTAAATTAAAAAAGTATGAGTGCTGATTTACCATTTTCTCAAGCAAGAAACGTTTCGTGCAAAATGTGACCGTCACTTGCTTTAATTTCGTACGAGTGAAAGAAAAAAAGACAGCAATCAATTGTATAATAAAATTAATATTTAACAGGTGTTGCTAAGCGGACAGATGAAAAAGAATGCGAAAACTCTTTCATGTTCAATGTGAAGAAATTTTTTGTTGTTCTCATTACACAGGTTAGTCAACTATTTTCCATTTTTCTGAAACATTCTACTATCAAAAATAACAAAAGATTTAAACTTTAAACTGCATCAGTAAAATGTAGTCGAATTAATGTCATGGTCATTAAAAAAATAAACATGTTTAGGGACATGTATTTGTTTGTCTCTTATAAAGATAAAGATATTAAGAATGCATACTGCTGCATTTCAAAATAACAAAACATTCGTAAATGACGCCTTTTTCAACAATTACAAGATAAAAATTATGAAATAATGGTGATAGGTCCGTGTGCTTGTTTCTTTTAGCTAAAAATATGAAAATTTAAAAAAAGGTTAGAAAACGATCTCTCTATTTCAACATCAGACACGGAATGCAATTAATTACTTAAGATTTTATAAAAAGAAATTGTTAACGGTAAAGTATAACTTCATGTTTAAAACATACATGGAAGTATCTGGGATTTTTATTTTAGTGTTTATATTAAACAAAATATTATCTAACTCCAATAAACTAATCGATTATATCAGTTAACGAAACGCTACCATGGTTGGTAAAGGTATAGATAGGAACCGAAAAGACCAGACATTGTGCGTTTTTAAACAAACTATCAAGTTTACATCGTAAAATTCAACAACAAAAATCAAAACATATCTTTTACAGATTAAGAACCCTATATTTATGATGGTTACGTTTGCTGGAACTGCTAATACACTTGCTGTATCAGGTGTCGGATCATTTGCTTACAAGTTTTTGATGGAGCAGTACAATCTGGATTACAAAACAGCTGGGTATCTCTTAGGTAATGTTTCTATTCTGGTAGACAACTTTATATCTTGAATGATTGATCGGCTTTTAACATCCAATGATAAGTATTGCTTACAAGATTCAGCACGAACACAGTTGTCATGTTGATGTAATATAACAGCCTTATGAATATAATCTGATTTGATCTAGACCGACATGCAATTGAAACCAAATTTACAACACGTAAGCTCACAAAGTATGAGAAGCCCTATGAATATAGTCTGCTTTTTACTAGACCGACATGCTGAGTCTGATTTACAGAATGCTAGCCCATTAGGTATAAGTAAATGCCATGAGCTTGGCGGAAAACAGCAAGTTTCAGTTTTATTGTCATTGGTTTAATCCCAAACGGGTCGAACACAACTTAAAATATTCGAAGTAAGCAAGAGAATACCAAGGTGGTAGACAACTTTGTTGTGTGATAATTGCATGACGTACTGATGTTTCGTCAGATTCAGTAATTTTGATTTGCAGACGACTATCACAAGGCATTCAAAAATTATGTTTTATTTCCCAATAAAATGCAACAATGTATTAAAAATCAAGCGAAAAGCTTGATTCAACTCATAATTTCACGGAGACAGCAGTAAAATGTAGTTATAAGAATTGAATAGCTCTCTTTTGTTATTCTAAAAGGTTATAAAAGCATTGATCGTGTTCACATTTTAGTCAGATGATCTTCATCCAAAATGTTTTCGGTCAACGCTTTCACAACCCAATAAAATAAAAACAAAAAAAGCATTCACGAGAGTCAGATTTTAAGATCACAAGGTTACAGTTCGCTGGCGACAAACCGCCAAGCCATTTTATTCACATTATTCGGATTCTGAACCGACCAGGCTTTACTGCAAATTTTAAATGTTACATGCTTGTTTTGAAGAAGAAGCAGCAATTTCAAAGTTATTGATTTGTCGATGGATAGAAACCTAACCCTCAGCACTCTAGGCGATCACCCAACCGCAAGACAAATAGACTAATATAGTCTTGTCCCTATCATTTATGATGTAATATGCATTGCCAATAAATAATCACATTTATATACCCCACCCACTTTAATATGGGGTCCATTACGTTTCCGGTCTGTGCGTCCGTCCGTCTTAAATAGATAATTTAAGTTAACTTTTATTTTACCTTAGTAAGCTGAGTGTATCAAATAAATTCCAAACAATATACAACTTAAAAACAAAACGCAATACTATAAACATAATTTGTATTTTAACAAACAAACCGGTTATTTTCCTATCGCGACGAAATACAAAATTGTTTGATTAATTTAATTGCTTTCTGCGTAGTGACGTCACAAGCGCCAAATATGACACGAATTGAATATATTGATAATTAATCGCACTAACTAATGGTGACTATTATCTGCATAATCTGGATAATTCATGATTAAGTCCATGTTGATAATTATTTTTAATCAATATAATTCAAGAGACACTGTTTTAGCTATAAAAATGTATTGTTGAAATTTCCTGTTTGAATTTTACAACTATCTAACTGTCGCTGTATATGATAAATTATCGATCTAAAAAAATTAGGTTAAAAAATTGTAACACAAATTTTATTTTTAAAATTTTAAACTTTATTCTGAAATTATCCTAACTTGTTTATGTGTTGTAGCCGGTATGATTTTGGTTGGTGTTGTTGGAACGTTCGGCGGTGGTGTGATTATAAGAATATTTAACCTTGAACTACGTGGAATGCTGAGACTGGCTTTTGTAAGTTGCTTGGTGTCATCTTTAATGGGCATCAGTTTCATAGCCGGATGTCCAGATGTTAAGCTAGCTGGGCTTGAAGTTCCTTATCATAACCACCCTGAGTAAGTAATAAGTAAAATTACTTTAACGAAACAGTGACAAGGAATATTTTCAAACGAATAAAGATACATGTTTTAGTACCTTTATATTACCCAATGATAGTAATATATACGACTATCAGCGGATGTGAAATTACTACATCTGATGGCCATGACTGGAATACTTTCAATGATTTTAAAAATATTGTTACTTTGTTACTTTTTCAGCGTGTCAAATGGATACTCAGACGCCTGTCAGAAACCATGCCAGTGTCAGTACGAAACATTTACTCCTGTTTGTGGTATAGATAACGTGGTGTATTATTCTCCTTGTCATGCTGGATGTACAAGTGTTGCAGGCATGGTACGTTTCATAAGAAACTAGCATGTAATGTATTTGTTTGTCCATCCTGTCTTTAATACAAATGGAAAAAAAGGCGACGCGTCGTCTTATTATTTAAAAAGAATAATTTATTTAAAGTAGTATGTAGTAAAGTCTTTAATTTACCGCAACGACACAAGGATGCTGGCAAATTTTGCATATTTGGTGACTAGCTTTAAAACTCGAAAACTAGTCCTTTTCCGCTACCGATTTGAATGCTAAATATTTTCATGTTTTATTGAAACAAGAAATCTTATTCACAATTTTGTCGCGATCGATGAATTTCTAAATTGATTAATATTATATTTAATTGATTTGTTATAGTTGTTTTCTTGTGCTCTTAAATGCTTAAGGCCGTACGGTGACCTATAGTTGTTAACTTCTGTGACATTTGGTCTCTTGTGGAGAGTTGTCTCATTGGCAATCATACCACATCTTCTTTTTTATAATTAAGGCTTTCCAAACTTAAGACCACCAGCTTAAGAATGGAAGACATTCGAAAGTAGTGTTGTTCTCACAAAAACGATGTCACACGATGTATAAATCGATACCTATGTAATACAATTTTGAAGAATTTCCAACTCAGTATGGCCTAAAATCTTAATATTTCTTCTCAAAGATGCTAATTGTTTTCAAAATTATTCTAATACTTCCTCTTATATATTTTTTTTTAAATGAAATAAAATAGTTTATACTTACAGGGTGTATGGGGTAACTGTAGTTGCATTGCTCAGAATCTGAATATAAGCCAGGCAAATGCAGGAGCCTTTTATGGGCGTTGTGATGACAACTGCGATAAACTTTATTACGTCGCACCATGCATATTTTTAGCAATCATCTTTGTACTAATATCAACTACGCCAAACTCAATGTGTATCATGAGGTAATTGTTTAATTGGATAGTAAACACATACTGTAAATTCAGAAATTATTTCGAACTTTTATTAATGTGATTTTGACATTACCATGACAAATTAGAGATTTTTTTTTTGCAATTTCAGAAAAAAGTTGCTTACTGAAATATGTATCAGATATCAGAAACCGAGGTCTTGTTATTGTGATTATTACCCAGTCCCACTATTTGCATAAATAAAAATCTCGCAATCATTTCTGAATAAACAGTATTGAATCTAGTTGTAGCGACTTCGATAAGTTATCTCCTCTCATGTATGATAATGTATAACGGAATAAGAAAATAATTGGACAAATGAATATATAGTACAAATCATCAAAGAGACCAGGCTTATAGTTTGGTTCGCCGTTTCATCTACACAAGACTCATCAGTGGCGCTCGAATCAAAACGTTTGGAATGCCAAATCAAATACGAAGTTGAGCATTAGAAACCAAAAAATCCGTAAAGTTGTGCCAAACACGGCTATTCCTTTGGGGGGCATCATTATAATTAATAATTTAAGAACACTTGATGATCATAAAGTGTATTTTCTATAGTCTCCTGTTGTGTGACCGTATCAAGATCTTTCAAGATTATGAATATTTCACGAGATTTTACTGTCAAACGACGGCATGAATTAATTCTTTTCTACAAATTTGACAAAAATTGCATATTTTGACATATATAGATATAAGAAGATGTGGTATGAGTGCCAATGAGACAACTCTCCATCCAAGTCAAAATTTATGAAAGTAAACCATTATAGGTCAAAGTACGGTCTTCAACACGGAGCCTTGGCTCACACCAAACAGTAAGCTATAAAGGGCCCTAAAAATTACTAGTGTAAAACCATTCAAACGGGAAAACCAATGTATGAATTGAAAATATTGAGCATATCGAAGTTCCACAAAAATGAATTATTCATACAGACAAACATCATAGTTAAATATTCAGCTGAAACTTACATTTGCGGCTTAGAAAACTATTGAAAGATTGAATAAAAACAATATTTGAAATTTGCGTTAATGGAATTTTTCCACGACACCACAACTATTTATATTCTGGAATCGTGGAAAGTAAACTACGAGTTTTTGTTTTGTGTTCCTCGACTTAAAAAAAGACATACAACTGATTTTTATAGTTTGTTCTTATGTTTTACTGTTACACCACTGTCCCAGGTTAGGGGAGGGTTGGCGCGCCTTCAAACTAGTTTAACCCCGCCACATTCTGTATGTGCCTGTCCCAAGTCAGGAGCCTGTAATTCAGTGGTTGTCGTTTGTTGCTGTATATCATATTTGTTTTTGTAATATAAATTCATTAAAAATTAGGCACGGTAAAGCATTTTTCTTACCTTGTTCTATATATTGAACAATAGGCTTCCGTAGCCAAAAATGCATGAAAGATACCAGTCTAATAAATTGCTACGCCAGATGTCGTTTAGTCTACAAGAATCATTAGTGGTGCTCGAATAAAAATAGTTTGAGGTCAAATAAAACAATAAGCTAAAGAGCCTCAGAAGCCTTAAATACGATCTATGCCTGGGGATAGAAAAACCTTAGTGTTTCGAAAAACTCAAAATTTTATAAACAGAAAATTTAGAGAAGAACTACCATATCAATGTCCATAACATACTGACGTTTGGGAATTCCGGAAAAAATAAAATTGATTGATTGTTTTTTTAGCGATCCCGAAACACATAATGACTATATCGTGGAGAGGCAAAAAGAAATTGATAGATCATGACACGTGTGATGCTTTTAAAGAAGAGCAACAGTCTTAGTAATAAAGAGTTGGTTCTTGATTGCTCATTTGAACATTACAATTGTTAATGAATAAACGATTTAAACCATTTCAGAGTTGTTGACGAAGACGTTAAACCGTTTGCCTTGGGTGTGGAGTGGGTTTTCATAAGGCTTCTTGGTAAGTGTGCTTTTCTACAGTTTGCGATCATTGAATTTCTCTTTCAGTTCAAAATGATTTAAAAATATTTTAATGATACTTCCTGTTCTTCTAGACACCGTTCTTTCGTTTTATAAACATACATGTTCCAATTAAAATAAATCATGACTTAACGTGCTTGAAGTAACAATAGAATTTTCAAGGTCAGTCATATTTTGAACGACCTTTAAAATCAATATAAACTTTTCTACGGGAGTTGGTTGTCATGAAATTTGATACATTTTTTTTTCAAAGTGTATACACTTTTAAATTGTTAAACGGTTATATTTTCAGAACAATTTATCAAGTAAAAATGGTTGCCTATTAAACGTGTCCTATATGCTCGGCCCGAACAAAAAAAGTCCTGAATTTTCTAATTAGAATCGAAATAGTTCACTCATTTCGTGCTCTGTGCTCATTTTTACATTGGTGGGCATTATATTTGACAACAGTTTACGCATCTCTTAGTCTATTTACAAATATTATGCCTACCAATGGTTATATGAAAATAGAGCATAACAAGAAATAATTTTCTTCTTCATTGATACTAATGAAAATGATTGACGTTTTAAAACATTTTCATGTTATAATTTTGAGGCTTCTCGGTAAAATTAAAGCTTAATCGAATTTAAATTGCTCGAAGAAAAATAATTAGAATACAAAATTCTGTTCAGTCCTCGACGTGCCAAATCGCTATTGCAAACGTAGACTATGTTAATGAAGATCACTGTAGCGCCACCGATACCATCAACATCAATATAGAAACAAAATGAATTCAAAATCAAATGAACATCACACACGATCGAGACAAAATAAGACCAAGAGATTAGAAGGTAAAGAAAATTAGTCTTATTTAGTCCATGCCACCTCTCGGCCAACTAAGCATATGCATATATATTATATATGTATATATATATATATATAACGGGTCAAGCGAATCATATTTCTGTCTTTAAACGAACATGGTGAATCTAAATCAAGGTAAACATTGGAAAAAAAAGAAACAGATTTAGGGTTGAAAATGAGACTTGAGTGCTAGACAAAATATGCTGCCTGATTGCTTACTATCGTAACCTTCCCGGTTAACATGCTCGGAAAATTAGATGATAAATAATGCATACATTTTCTTAAATTATAGATTTCAGAAAGCATGTTACCTGTTTATTTGTTAATTGTTAATTGAAATAATCAAACTATATATCTGATTTCGTTTGAATGGGGTTTGACTATGTTTTATACAAATCGGGTCGAATCACAACAAGACCCCATTGCTGGTAAAGATAATATAAACAGCTGCTTAATGTATATTCTATGGATCATTTCTGTAACAGTTTGGTTGTCTATGCAAAAATAATGTATACCTTAGAATTATTTTTTTGCAGGAACCATTCCATAAACAGCTGATTAATGTATATTCTAGGGATCATTTCTGTAACAGTTTGGTTGTCTATGCAAACATAATGTATACCTTAGAATTATTTTTTGCAGGAACCATTCCAGGTCCCCTTCTGGTTGGTTGGGTTCTGGATAACGCATGTTTGATATTTTTAGACGGAACTTGTGGTAATAAAGGGAACTGTTTGCTCTATAGCCATGATGATATGGCTTCAGGGATATTAATTTGGTGGCTGATTGTGTCATTGTTGTCGGCAATATTTTACCTATTCGCCATTTTATTTGAAGCCAGATCTGGGAAAAGTAACTCGTTCGAATTATCATCAAATTAGAGACAATTTTCTTCAGAACCTGTGATTTATGTAAATACTGCATTTGTTTTAGTTTATATCATTGAAATGTGACATTTTAAAGAAGAATACCATGTTTTGTATTAGTAATCAAACGGGACTAACTTCGAATTCTTTATTCTGTAATATTCAATTGAGTGCTCTTATGCAAGTGAACCAGGCATATTTAAAAGACTGCAAACTTGTGTAATATGATCTTTTAATAAGGAATATTGAATGGATATAAAACATCATTCCGGAGATATACTTTTATATAACCTTATATGAAAAGGACAATGGTTTTATTGATTTTTCAACTTACCTCGCTTTTATTGTTTACTCAACAAAATACTCAATACAGTAGAGATTTCACGTATTTGTACTGTGGCAAAAAGTGGAGAAGATACCAACGGAACAATTTAAAGCCAGACGTCGAAAAAGACGGACAAAGCCATGGAAAAAAGAAGAAATATCAACCAACAAATCAAAAACACTCGCAGAAAGCAACAAGAACCAATTTAAACAAAACACGTGACTGATCTAGAAGGGTATACTTATTCTTCCCAACTCTTGGCTTATTGCTTACATTACCGGTGATAAATATGTATGTTAAACTAAGAATAATTAATATATAGTTATTGGTTACAATTGTTAAAAAGTAGCATATACTTGTTATCTCTATAGTCGACAACGAACATTCGGGTTTGCGGACGAGAACTTTTTATAAACAAAATCTGGTGCTAAGGTGAATATTTCATAAATAATCATATGGAATAAATAATTTAATTCTGGATGTAACGCGTCTTCTGATTGGCTGACAGATTTTGTTTATCAGCTCATAGACATAATTTTGTCATGTGACTGTGACGTCATCAACATTTTTTCATGATTTTCTCACGCTTAAAATGGAATTTAGAATTAAATTATAAGGAATGACTGAAGAAATAACATAAAAAATGTGGTGCACACTTTAAAATATTCAGTGTGCACCACATTTTTGATGTTATTTCTTCATAGACAGAGAAAAATTATTTTATGGAATAACTAATTTTATGGAATAAAATATATTCCATAAAAAATAATCATATTTAAACAAAATTAATTTATTTATTCCATAAAATTTTGGAAGAAAAAAAAGTTGATTTTGTTTTGCTCTGGGAATATTTATCTTCCCTTTCAATATTCTAATGACGGTCCATTTGCATTTGTACAAAAAAATCTAAATCAAAGAAATATCATGTATTTTATCACAAAGAAGTATCATGAATTATAACACAAAGAAGCATCATGTATTATATCACAAAGAAGTATCATGTATTATACAATAAAGAAGTATCATGAATCATATCACAAAGAAGTATCATGTATGTATTATATCACAAAGAAGTATCATGTATGTATTAAATCACAAAGAAGTATCATGTATCATATCATTGTCATATGTATTTTGTCCTTGCCTTTTGTCATGTCAAGTGTTTATAGTGCCATATGTACATTTATTTATAACATTGTTACATTTTTTATTTGTTAATTCAATGTTTATACAATGTATCTTTATATATATGCATATATTTACAAGAATGAATAAAATTCAAAAGTTCTTTGTGTGATAGTGCTCAAACAATATACACAAAAAAAGGACGGAATTCAATTTAAACAAAATATAATAATTATGAATATGCATGTTGAATAATAATAGAATCACGTGATTAGACTTTAAAATAAAGCACGGAATTTAAAAACTACACATATCTGGTTATGTTGCATCATATGGAATATAATAACAAGTCAATAGGTAACATCATATATTATTGTACTTCTAGAATTGCTCGATCTTCTAGCAATGATTTAGAAAATGATTTAAAGCCGATTCATTTTTTATACATTGTCCAATTAATTATGATTGATTGATTAATTGGTTTTTAACGCCAATTTCAACACTATTGAGCTATTTCGTGGTGGTCAGTTTTAAATGGTGGGGGAAACCGGAGAGAACCACCGACCTGCGATAGGACCCATTATTTATGCGTTTTTACGTAAACCATAATTCAATGGCGTCTATGAAGTTTGTTTTTTGTAATAAAAAATTTATCTACAAAATTCATAATTTTTCCTTACACAGACACAAATTTCGAAAAATTGAAAGATGTAATTAATCTTTTGATTTAAAATTTAAAATAAACGCTACGTTATCTTTGAAAATTTATCTCCATCAAGATTTTAAATTCGTAAGGAACCGGGTTTCTTTTGTCTCGATTAACCTGTCATTTGAGGTCTTAAATTTTGACAATAATCCAAGGATATATACAAACAAGTAAGTTCATTTCATTTATCACAATAAAACAGGGTACACTGCACGATTTTCCAACCGATTTTTTACCTATAATGTCGGTTCGACAAAAATCGCACCATGTGAACACTTAAAATCGGATGTTGTTTAGTTAACCGAATGAAAAATTGTGTCATGTGAACAGATCGTTGTACGATTTACCTGGGTGACGGTCTCAAATCGGATGGAAAATCGTATCGTGTAAACGCACCTTTAGAATGAGTGTAATGAATAATGTTAGGTAGAAGTAACATGCAATCAAATTAATCACAGCTTTTGCTCGTAGTTAATGCATAAATTAGTTATTGCTCATATATGCGTCGATAAGACAACATCATTATTGGAGGTAGATGGTGGCGCTTCACTTGACAAATACGCCATGTTATCATATGGTTTCTTGCTAAAGTTCACGTCATAATCGCCATTAGGTACATTGTTTGTGTCAGTTGGCGGTTTTATGTCCAAGGTGGTCTGTGAAGGCGCCTTATAAAATTTACCACCAATAAAAAATCCAATGGAACTGGCTACTTTCACAGCGCACCACCAAACAAAAAGTTTCCAACTCATGTCAGTTCGATCATAAACCCAACAGGAACCTTTGGTGCCACATGTGTCCTGCCAAACATCACACGATGTATCCAGTACGGAACCAGTTAAGACAGGTCCAGGAATTGTTCCTTAAAAGACAAATTAAATCAGGAAATAAGATTTTACAATCATGTTAATTACTTGAAAACTAATATCATTTTCATCTAAAACATTTTCCAAATTAAACAGAAAACATTAAGCCTTGAATTTTGTATGCAGCTGGAAAGTTTTTTCCATTCAATCGTGGATAGATATAAGTATTTCGAGTTTCGATACTAGTAATAAACATCTTAACATGCGTACGACGTTAGACGGTAGTGATACCTGAATTAAAAAGACCAGATTATATCATTCCGTCAAATCTGCATGGATATGGAATCAACACAATATTGGAAGGACTAATGAGTTTTACGATGTGGAAAATAAATTGCTCTTAGTTAACATACGATCTTGAAGAGAGAAAATATACTATTGCAATTTTGGAAGAATCAACTTAAATGTGTTTCGATATCACTCATGAGATATAGAATAACATCATCTTATTCTTTGACTTGGGTTGGCAATACTTTTGTTCTTTTTCGATTCTATCATCTTTTCAATGATTATATTAGGTTTTGGTTTTCAAATATTTAGTCAACAGTTGTTCACAACAATAGCCAAATGTCAAAATATTAGTTCAAACTAAGTCTTTTAAGTAAATCGGAGGACAAGTTTAAAATGTCTCGCTGTAAAACAAATCAATTTGAGTCTTTTGGTTTTATATATCATCTAAGGTATATTTTACTTTTAATATCGCGAACAGATGGAAACCATACTATAAAGATTGTACAGTGACCTATAATTGCTTTCATCCAGGACATCTGGACTGAAGTGGGTAGTTGTTACATTGACAATAATACTACATCTCCTTAGGTTTATGTAGACATTGGACTGCAAACTTCTATATGAATATAAAGAGAATCGAGGCAAAGGTCAATAAGATCCAAAGACGAAAATTGAAAAAAGGGTCTAAGAGCGCAACTTATCAAACGATAGTACATTTTACAAGATGTCACTGGTTTTGTTTAATTTCTTTTCGTCACTGCTTACCTAAAAGTCTAAGTAATACCCACTGCAAACCTAGACCAACTGCTCTATGTTCATCGGGTACACACCTGCGATAGAAAATAAACGAATGTGAAGGTGCATAAATATTTGGCACAAGTTTTAATATAATATGAGGAGTTGAATTTTAAAATGTAGAAAAGTAGAAAGTTTCTACACTGATACAAAACTAAAGGGTGTAGCCTTAAATACATTCCAAAAAGATGTTTTGACAAGTTCACGTAAACCATAATTACTTGCTCGATTTTCAGGGTTTTTTCTTGACTGTTGCTTCTCTTTTTGTCAAATTCTTTTAACAACGTTGTTGTCTTTTTTAAATTTATGAATTGCATTGGTCCGTTGGTATCTTTTTAACATATTTTTAGCCGAAACAATAAGTGTTTGTTTTGTAGGTAAGACAATTCGAAGCTACTTGAAACACATGCTAGCACTAAGCCCCCATTCATCTGTCTTTTTTCAGATTGCTTTGTTATTGTATCCTTGGAATCGTCTAACTATTGTGTTCGTTATAAAGTTACAAACCTCAATATAGCCATGGATGCCGGAGTAACCGTCGTAAATGTACACAACATGGCAAGAAATAAAAGAATAATGAACACAATGTAGCTATTACAGCTACTTCCACATTCTCCAGTTGTAGCTGTACCATTACCAAAGGATCCAATGCAGCCACATTGTGAAAACTAAAATAACAAAACATTTCAAAATAAAATCGTATTTTAACCTTTTGGTTATCAGTCTATACGATGACTTTTATCAAAATAAACACATGTCATGAACATTAAAATGAATGGTGAATGTTTTCTTTCGTTTTGGAATAATCAATAAGGTACAGCGCTAACATTTAAATTTGGATTGACGTCTTTCCTGTAAACTGACTTTTTCGGGTACAGACACATAGGTTCGTGTTTATTTTTCTTTGGTTTCATGTGTAATTTTTCGCTATTGTGGTTTGTCTTTTCGCCGTTTTTGATTGTTTTTTCATCAGACTTATGTTTTATGATTGCCTGTCCCTCTTGGTACTTTTCTCTCGTTTCGTGATACGTCTCGTGTTAGAAAATATTCGATGTTAATATCTAAATGAAAGCATCAATTAAAATACAATTTCGTCAGGAGTACTGTTTATCATTCAAAAACATCGTGGTATTGAAAGTAACCGATGGTACCACGGTAGGTACTTGCTGGATATAGATCTATTACATGTACTCTCAGTCAACATTTAAATCGACTAAACTCTTTTGGATTATGATTGGACAAATGTCTTCAGTTATGCATAATGTTACGTGCATGACATGGCAAATTTCAACCATTTTAATTGAAACCAATAGCAAGAAAGTTATTAAACTATACATGAAAAATCGAGTAGAAAAGAATTAATGTTAAATTAAGAGTTTCAGAATCCGAAGCATCGATATAAATTAAATGATTTAATAATAATAATGAAAATAACAACAAAACAAAACGAATATCTTAAAAAAAATTAATAAAACACCCACCAAAAAAAAAAAAACACAAAAAGAATCCGACAGAGACATTACTTGTGACGAGGCTACACATTGTACAGATGCAAAAAACGGACAAAAACAATATCATTAACAAAACAAAAGAAGTAAGTGTCTGACACGAATGCCCAAGCTCAAGCTCCAAACAACCGAAAATGGGACAGACGGACGAACGGACGATCAAGGGTAACACTTAATGCCCCCGTCGCCTACGGCGGGGCATAAACATATAAATAATACGATAAATTTTCACTTCTGTTCTCGTACTATGAACAGCAAATTTATTTATTTTGTAAAATATATTTACGTACTCCTAACAACCAAATTATTTTATTTAAATACCTGAGTACGTTATTTTCTTTAACGTCATTTTGTCCAAGGTTATAGTTGTGTTTTTGACATTGTTTCACTCCCCCCCCCCCCCTTTTATTTAATATTGTATTTATATTGTGTCATAGATAAAATTTATTCGTTCAGTGTATGTTTACTTGTTTTTGTTAAAATGTCTTTTTGATTGAGATATGCCATTTCAATTGATATTTTATAGTGTGTGTTTCTATGTTGAAATGTTACACTACTATTTCAGGTTAGGGTGAAGGTTGGCGCCTGTTAAAACGTTTAAACCCGCTAAATTTGTTTGCACCTGTCCTAAGTCAGGAACCTGTTATTCATTGGTTGTCGTTTGTTGATCTGGTTCATAAGTGTTTCTCGTTTCTCGTTTTTTATATAGATTATACCGTTGGTTTTCCTGTTTGAATTGTTTTACACTAGTCATTGTGGGGCCTTTTATAGCTTGCTGTTCGGTGTGAGCCAAGGCTCCGTGTTGAAGGCCGTACTTTGACCTATAATTGTTTATTTTTTACACATTGTGCCTTGGATGGAGAGTTGTCTCATTGGCACTCATACCACATCATCTTATTTCTAATTAAGAGCAAACGTCATAGAAATAATGCAGTATGTTAATTCTTTTGTTAAAGGGTGTGGTCAATTTAGGTACAAGTCATGTTAATTTGGGTGTACTTGTCAGGATATTAGAACATCTCTGTCTTAAATCATCGTTGTAAAAAGTTATTACGACTCATTTTGTATATATATGAAATTACAAGAAATTACTGTTAACCAACTTTATTTTGCGACGGATTTTTATCTTCGCGAGTAGAAAAATAACACGAATATAAGTAGTCGCCATTTATATGTAAAACTTTTCCTATGAATACACAAACAAAAATAGAAAATCATGAAAATAATTCACCGCATAGATAGCATGAAAGAGACAAACTCGAGAAAAACGTCTCCGCGAAAATTATTTGGTTTATAGTAAGTATTCTTATATAAAAATTATATTTACATCTGTATCACTTATATTACATCCAGCATGACAGGCTGAAAAGTAAGTTACGGAATCTGATCCACACACGGGCTCAAATGCTGAGGTTGTACATCCACAATCCACATTACAAGTTGATATAATATTTCCAATCCTAATAAAAAAAATAGATATGTGGTTCAAATTTTAAAATATGTATTTGTTCAATGTATGAAAAATACAATACATAGCAAAATGGTCAGTTTTGAAGAAATTTTCATAACGAACTTCGACAGGGACATTTTGAAATGTTGTTGACTTTACAGCTTTAATATCTTTTTCGTATTAGAAAGATCTCAAACTGTATTTTTTTGATAAAATAAAGACAACTCAGCACTATACTCTGGCTTCACGACCCGCAATAGAAAATATTTTTTCTTGCGGAATAACATAGAAAGTTCGACAAAGTTAAGTATGTTATTTTTTCTATTCTCCCATACTAAGTAATTTATAACATCTTAAAGGGAAAATAAGTTTTTGAATCTAGAGGATTGGAAATAAAACTATACAAATTAATGACATGTGGTTGAGGATCTTAGCAACCATTAACATGATCGACCCATTGCATTGAAGGTTGAGTGAAAAAGGATGGAAACGTATAAAAAGGAATTATTTTGACAAATGTGGTTCAATTTGGCCACAACTATTTGAAATAAGGTTGATCAAACATAAGTACTATTTCAGTTCTATTATTTGTCGTACTAATAAGGTTATGGTGTATCGCATCTTTAAAATCCTTAGTTTAAGCCCGCCTCATGTTCATGTCCCTGTCCCAATTCAGAAACCTGGTCAGTGGTATATATCTTTTTTTTTCATTTCAGGTTTTTGTCTTTTAGGATAATTTAGATTTGAAAGTAGGTTTAGCTTTTGTATAGACTTCTGTCTATCCTGGTGCTCGCAAACTGACCTCTAGGTACTTTTTGGGTTTTTTTTGTGTTGTTTCGTTGCTGCCTCATCGATGATACACTGCATATCATTTTTTCATAAGTTTTAAGATATCTTAAACATTTATCTGACAATTACCCTCCACTTCCATCTGAATAGGTAGCTGATAAACCAGCGAATGATTTTTCTTCACAGTTGATAAAGAATCCTGCTCCGATTGCTAGCGATAATAAAGCCATCAGACAACACAATCTTGTCATGCCACGAACTTGCAGCCTAAAGCATTTAATTAAAACACCACCAAAAACCATACCACCTGCCCCACCTAACAAAGTCACTGCACCTGTAATTCAAAATTTTCTTTAATAATAACATCCATTTTGACGTAATTTAACACATAATCGAACCAAATTACACTTGTAATACATGATGGTCTGCACATATATGTCTCAATTCTTGAATTCTTTATGCCATCTTTTCTATTCTTTATATATTTTGTCTATTATTCTTTATTCTGTGCTTTTGTAGATTTTTTCGCACTCCCCGTCCAGACTCTCATACGTTTATCATCAAATGGCAGCTCTATCGTAACATAACGTAAGGTTTTAGTTCAAAAATATATTTTTGTTTAAAACATTACCACTTCTAATACCAAATTTCAGTATACTGGGGAAGACAATTGCATACTTTAAAGGATATATTATTCAAAGTAGAATCATTATTCTGACCCATTGTTGGCACCTCCAGGCTTGTAACAATATTTTTCTGAGTTTATATTGTTCAATTTTTATGTCTTCTATCGTAAATCAAATTTGGTTGAAGGTCCCAGAGATTTGTTTATTTCTAAAATTTGTTCATCTTAGTATTACCTATCCAAGCTGCGCATAGGTAACCAATGCAAGGATATTTTGTTTACTCCAAAAAGTTTTTTTTAAATTTTGTCAAGTTGTGTTAAATCATTAACGAAGATTAACGTCAGCAGTTAACTGCTAGTTTCTGTTTTCACTAAAATTTGGGACAAATAAAGCGTTCTTGATGAAGTTAAATCCAGAATAGCGCTTCGGACGTATGAATTTATAACGTGTTGTTTTCATGTTTTACAGCACTGAGTGGATAACTCTGTTGGTGGAATATCAGTCCCCGAGGGTAACATCAGCTCAGTAGTCAGTACATTGTACTTCGGTACTAACATGATTTATAACAAACTTTCTTAAATTGCCCGTTTATAAATTTTGAAATTATAAAGAAACTAAGGTTTCAACTCCCTCAGGCAAAATTGGCCTTAGATGGATTTGGCTATTTTTTTATGTCCTTTCTGGTTTTAGCTCTTCAACGTTTTAGATCCTTATACATCCTTGGCTTTCAAATATTCGGCTGTGAGCGTTCCTGATGAAGGTAAATCCATATAAGCGCTTCGGACGCATGAAATTTATAACGTGTTGTCTTCATTTTTTTTTTCATAAATCAAAAGCGAATGCTAGTAATTCAGCAGCGTTCCACACAGCTATATACTTAAAATAAAATTGCTGTTGTATGTTTTACCCATGATAAGACCGGCATTACTGGGAACAACATCAAACTTCTCCTCTAGGATTTTTGGTGCAAACGCTGCCAGACCTCCTATGATCAAAGTCTCGGCACATGCAGCCAAAGTAATAATTACAAAGCATGGTATTTTAATCTGAAGTATAAAAACAATTTAGTATGTACATAAATGGGAAATTGTGTAGTTGATATCTATCAGATAGCAACCGAACATAATTTTTTTAAAGGATTGCAAAATTAGAACTTAACATGTACATAAAGTCTTTGGAAAACTTTAATTAAAAAATAAGGAGATGTAGTATGGTTGTCAATAGGGACAATCATCGAAAACATACCAAAGAAAGTGAATGTAAGCAACAATTGGTCACATATAAAATCAAGGGTTATCACAGAGATCATAAAATGCCACTAATTAATTGTTGGAACGAATTGCCTCCCTTTGGCTTAAGTTTACCTCCGGTTACGAAATAAACATCGATATCTAAATCCAGATGCACCAACTACATGGTCATTATGTTGAATAATGCCAAATGTGAAGGGTTTTTTTTTATCTTGAATATATGATATATACAAAAATAATCAACAATTTAAAGCTCATTTTAATTGGTATTCATATGAACATATTGTGGATCCGTGATGTATAAAAATCGACAGTAAAAATGAAAGATCAGTTTTCAATTAAACAGAACAGAACACGAAGAAAATAAGAAAGATTAGAGTTAATTTCCTAATGCTTGTAGACGAAGACTTTGGTTGGCTTGCTTGCTTTGTTTGTATGAATGTTTGCTCAAGCATTGTAATTAAGATTGACATCAGCAATCAATATAAATAGGTGGAGTTTAACCTGCATACTCAGATTCCTAACCTCCAGGATAACATCCAATCAAATTTAAGTATAATGTATACAGGTTTAACTCCGCCTTTTTGTATTGGTTGTCGATGTCAATCTTAATTACAACGATTGAGCAAACGTGTACACAAACAAAGCAACCAAGCTAACCAAAGTCTCAATCTCCAGCATTAGGAAATTTGCTCTTAATGCTCAGACTAGTCTAACGTTCAGACTAGTCTATGGATATCAGTCTAAAAGCCGATGTCTCCAGTGTATCCTGAAGATCCGTTTCCAGTAGTGAAAATAGTACAAAACTTTTCAGCACGAATCCTCATACTTACAAGAATCAGTATAGCTTTTGGGAAATCCAGCATCTTTAATTTTAGTGACCTAGTGTCATTTTTCTGCTTTGCTATTCTTGCTCTATCTTCTTCAGTCAAACGCGCAGCTCTAATGGCAGCACTTCCTGCAATTTAAAGTTAGTTCTGCATTAACTCAGTCGTTTAAACTACATAGGTTAACTTTTAGATCAAATTCACTTCGCAAGCATAGCGAAAAAGAGGGAGAGGCCTACCTATTAAAACAAATTTAAATAAACCGTATTCAAATGTAATTAACAATTTTTTATGGCAATTTTGTCATTTTCTTTAAATTCAATGTTCAAATATTAGTAAAAGTATATATATATATCAAAACATGGCTAGAAATTTAAACAGAGAAGAAGGGAAAACACATGGATTTTTTCTTTTCTCATTACATTTTCTTATAATTTTATGTTTAAACAAATGTCAGTCATATAATTTTTGCCAATGTGTAATTTTGGCACATATTTTCTGTGTACAATAATAGAAGTCTCCAGATCATTTCAAAATATAGTGCTGCACATATTACAACGAAGTATGTTACCTGGTAAGTTTTTAGGGTAGGCAAACATTGGTATAGCTGACAGGAAGAACGTTACACAGGTTATAATAAAACCAACCCACCAAGCTCCAACCCATATTGGATCCATTGGTGTAAAGTTGTCATAAATACTGCAAAAATAAACTAATTTTGTACTTTGTTTTTTAAATGCAAGAAAGTGATCAAAGTTTGATCAAGTTATTATAAGAACGTGTGAAAGGAATTATAAGCAAAACAAAATTCTCAAATATGATCAAATTAGTTTGTATGAACGGTAGGTAGGATCTGATGAGGGAATGTATCTTCTTGTCTGTATTTATTCTCTATTCCTTAAATTTTTTAACCATATTTCCTGTCTTTTGTTTATTGGGCTTTTTCTGTTTTCTTTATTTCTTTGACCATAATCCTCATTCGGACTCTCATGTATGCTCATAACAGTGTCTTAATGAGGAACTCTTGCTTGTTCTGACTTATACGGTACGTTTAATGCAGATGATAATTTTTAAGAGTACTTAAGTTATTAGGCGGTTGATTAAAGTTATAATTTGAATTTCACTGTCTTAAACACATGCAAGAAAGATTTTCCGCAAAAATTGAAAATAGAGAAAATGGCATCGAATTTAAAACATACTATGTGGTATCTACTCTTTCAAAATCTACCCAAAGTGATAGAAACTGTCCACCTCCCATGTATCCAGCGGCAACGCCCAATGCTGTCAATGCATAAATCAAACCTAAAAATAAAAATATACTACATCAAAATCACTTAATTTGGACTTTTTTTTTGTGAATTGTGTCGCATCAATGATTTGGGTAACGATAAAAAAAGGTTCAAATTTTAGAAACAAAACTAGTTCATGGTTGAATACGTTTGATTTAAAGGGGATGCCAAGTAAACGTCATACAGACAGCATCCGAGCGACAAAAATAACCAATAGACATCTAAATATAGTCTTTATTAATAGATATGTGTCTTTACAATATGTTTGACGTTAATTTGAAACAATATTGACCATTGAAATGTCAGATTAACACATCCATTTAGCGATAAACTGACCATTCAACATGCAAACCTAGTATGATAAAATGTTATATTTCTGAGTTCAATTTTTTCTTCTTTTACAAGCATGTCATTATTTAACCCTTATATTTGCAGTAATGCAAAATCCTCCAAACCCTATTTAATACTAAACTATGTTAATTGCATTGGTAAACACTGAGAAAATCGGAACGACCAACCTATGCTTCTGAACTGTACATTGATGATTGACGTCGAAATACCCAATTATATTGATGGCAATAAAAAATAATCCACAGTAATCTAACCAAAATTGTTGCAAAAACTTTTAAACTTCTACCGAGCCTTGATAACAGAAAAATCTTTTCGGTCAACCTATTGGTCCCCCTGATCCTAAATAACAGGTCGGGGGAATGGGATTATTATCCCAAGGTACATTGGTGCGAAATCAAAAATAGTCTATATGAAGAAAGGGGTAGGTTCGGTAATTAAGGGCCATATTTGGCCCCGATTATTAAGTTCAATGTTTCAGGATAAAAATGTTTTAAGTTGATGAAAAGACATGTGAGGAAGTTAAATAGAAGTATTTTTGTCAAAGTTTTGTTCTGATGCGTTGATTTTTACATCCCAAATAGGTCAAAAACAGAGATTTTGGCAAAGATTGACAAAATCGTACTGATTTCAACCAAATTAATGCCTAGGAAACATAAAGCGCAGGCGTCGACAAACTAAATATTTGTGTCAGATATGTAAAATGCCATAACAGAGATTATGTTAAAAGATCTTTTTTGTCGACGCATGCGCTCTATGTTTCCTATCCAAGAAATCAATGGAAATTTATCCATTTTCATTGAATTTTCGTGGAAAATCAAAATGAGTGCTATTTGTGACCTCATGAACAGAGCGCAAGTACGTAAATTTTCAAAACAAAATTATATTTTCGATATTGTCATTGTATTAGCTATGATTGGTATTGGTCAATTAATCCTAATTTTAAATTTAAGCCAGAAATAGGGGCCATTTTAGGACCTTATCGAACCTACTCATTTCAATTCGAAACCAATATTTTGTTGCAATTTTACTTTACATCTATCGAAACACTAAGGTTTTTCTTCCTCCAGAAAAAAGATAACCTTAGCTGTATTTGGCACAACTTTTCGGAATTTTCGTTTTTTCATGGTCTTCAAATTTGTATTGGGTTTGGCCTTCCCACTGTTTTGATGCGAGCGCCACTGATGAGTCTTATGTATAAGCCTGGTATCTTTGATGAGTTTTTACATGTATTTGTCGATACTTAGAGGTTGTAAATATTTCAAAGTTGATGTGAATAGCTGTCATAAAACGCACTTATGTTTTAACCCTAAAACGTGCTTCTATCTATTATTTTATAGCTCAATTCATAAATCAACATATTTGAAGTTCTTTCAAGGTTGTTTTTTAAATAGAAGTTTGCATACATGTTGAATACTTCATTTGTTTAATAGACGATATTTTTTTAATCGATGCACTTCATCTACCGCGTTTAATTCCGACGCAACGTGTCGGTCTATAGCAAAGCAGGGTTCATATGTACTTCACATTAAGATATTATAGTTCTGAATTTGCATTTAATTTGCCGCTGGACGTAAAAAAAAGTCATAAAAAAAAATAAGAGCAAGGAGAATACATTCCCGGAGGTCATCTGATACGTAGTTGATTATTTATAATGTGTAAGTTGATCATTCCTTCCACCATGTTTATATGAATAAAAGAGATGTATGAGTACATGCCAATAAGACAGCAACTTTACAAAAACCAATGAGTTCAACCATACAAAAAAACCCACATAAAAAGGGATCAATATACGTTGCATATCTTTACTATATGCATCTAGCACTAAATAACCAGAGACTACTTTCAAATTTTAAAAGAGACATTTCAACTTTTTAATTAATACTTGTTTTAAAGGGCATCACAGTACAAACAGAACAAACACACATACACACAATAATAAAAAAACCAAGATATGACAAGCGATATTGCGTACAAGAAATGTGTCATTTTAAAGGTAATCATTTCATATCAATAATAGGTATATATTACCTAAATAAATAGCGGTTGATTCTGTTTTAGCATTATCGTCTACGTATGCTGTTCCAAGTGTAAACATTGGTGTGAATCCAATACCATGTACAAACTGAGCCAACATAAAAACGTATAAAAAGCCACTTCCAGATTGTGATGGTGCAGTACAGGTGTCATCACCGCCGATCTCACATATCTGACTTGTTGAATTGACATCTATAAATGTATATATAAAAAAAGGAAATAAACAGTTTAAATTGCATATAATGTGGAATGTAACCTACAAGAACAAACTAATGTCATTTAAAGTGTTCTTCGTTTGTTAATAAAAGTTCAAACGACAGGTACCAATAGTTGAACACGAGCTGCTTACACATCGGGAACACCCAAGTACAACCCGATATTTTAGTGGGATTTATTCTTCTTCTAGCTTTAACTTTCTGTGTAGTGGTTTTATATCGACTTGATTGATCCCTTGGTATCATCTTTCTAATTTTTTCTAATAGAAGGTTCTTCAATGATTAAAAACACTGTAAACTTTGTATGTTTTCTTTATGGTTTTCATGTCTTTCACCGTATTGTTATTTTATTGTATTGCTCTTTGGTGTCCTTGTCTTTTTAGTATGTTTTCTTTAAATTATTTGACATGGTTTTCATGTCTTTCGTCGTATTGTTATTTTATTTTATTGCTCTTGGGTATCCTCGTCTTTCTAGTATGTTTTCTATAAATTATTTGACATGTTTTTCAGGTCTTTCATCGTTTTGTTATTTTATTGCATTGTATTACCTCTTGGATAATATCCTCGTCTTTTAAGTAAACATGAAGTGACAACTTCAATTTATAATCAGCAAGAATTTCAATGTCAATGTCAATTTGATTTGATTTATTATAATGTTTCACTTAGCTTTAAAAGAACAATGATATCATTGAAAACTATGTTATACAGTTAGCATATTCAGGAAAATTACACATATATTTCATGAAATTTTAAAAACCTCAAGAGAATTTTACAATTCTTTTAAAAAATAAATCATACTTAACAGCAAAGTATACCAAGTCATGTAAGAAGAAATATCACTCACTTGCCCCTTGATAATCGTACGGATCTGTTGCAAAATGTGGAATCAAAAATAGGAAGGAACCGAGCGACATTATTAATGTTCCCAGACCTACAACGACAGCACGATTCTTCTTAGCACCATAGAAACTAACAAACAGTACAAATATTACAGCACCAATGTCTGTTGAACTGACGATAAGAGCCGACTGAGAGCTTGGCAGACTGAAACGTCTTTCTAATGTAGTTAACACTATATTGGTGACGCCATTGACAGCAGCTCCCTCTATAAAACCGATCACACACAACCAGAAAACTACCCATTTTATATTTAAGCAGCCCCTGAAAAAATCAAAACATTATGTTATGCTTTTCTACGTGTCTTTTATCCGAAATGAAATTATTTGTTCCCTGAATGGAGCAAAGTGAAGCTTGACTGATACAATACATCAAAGATACCAAATGTTCTGTGTGCGAGTTTTCGCTTGAAAAAGAAATGTCTCTGTTATGAAATTATAAGTTTGTCCTTTTTATTATCTTGAATGCTAGGATTTTTTCTCAATTAGTTAGTTATTGCAATGTATTTTTTATATCTATTTGAAATTTGTGGTGTCTTCTATTATTAGCAAACTACATAGTAGCAAAACAAGTAGCTAAGACTAACAGCTAACTTACTTTGGTCCAAATCGACACTTCAAATTGCTTTCATCTTCTACCTCAGTAACCTGTATTCAGAAAATAAAATGATTTTGTTTCGGCGAAAGAATTGGAATAAAAAAGACATCAGCCAATTAACTGATGTTTGTGAAATAACAGATTTACACAATTGTGTGTAGAAAGTACAAAAATAGAGTATGTAGATCTTCGTAGAATTTTACTTTTAAATTGTTCTGATTATTTTTTCTCAGGAAAAACTTTGAGTGACACTTGCATGATAGTGGATTTATAAAAGCATTTTATACTAACCGAATATTCTTTCTGTTTGTACACATCTCCGTTCCGTGTGCCCTGAAAATATAAAAAGTCGCGTTGAGCAAATTGTGAAAGTTATTTTCAAAATATTTTACCTTAAGATTTAACCTTTTCGGGGTTGAGTATTTTATTTTATTCGTTACTTCGATTTGTCATTGTTTTCTCTTACCAAAGAAGTCGATACAGAGATAAGAACTCATATTTCAATATTTATTTTTTGCAAATAAGATGTTTAAGGAGTCAAAAATGCAAATTGCATACAAGAACAATCACCATACTACAGAACATTAGCACTCAATATCCTGTCTGATCTGGATACATTTATCACATTGTTCACACTTTCACATTTGCTTTTTATGAATGCCCTTCAGAGTGTTGTTCCTTACTCCTTATTGCAGGCTCTACAATGACCTGTAGATCTTCAACACAATGTACTTTTAAGACTTTGAATGGACAACTGTCTGTCACAACACGGCATAAAGAAGTAAGAACACGCACCTTATGTACTAGTGTATATTGATGGACTTTTTTTTAATCAATCTCTCCTTGTGTAATTTATATAAGTTTAAACCATCACATAATTAATTGTATGATATGTCTCTGGTAGAAAGTAAGGTACTAGTGATAAAATGATACTGAGTCTTCAATCAACTGTAACAAAAACCGGTTACTTGTGAAGTGCAAGTATTTAGATTCCTTATGAATTGAAACTGTGCATCTATTTGTTCTTAATACTTAATTAGAGTTTTAAATAAGCTTTCAGATATAGATTTTGTTATGTGTATACATGTACCTGATAACTGCTGCTTAAATGTTGAATATAATTTTCAGAATTACGTTGTCTTTTAAAACGTGATATTTCAAACTGCGTTTTAAACGAATATTTCCTTTGTTTTTATACTGTCAATAGCACTATATGTACAAATAATCCAGGTCATACAATTTTATGGGATGTAGTTTGGAGGCATTAAACTTGATATATCAATGATAATTTTCATATTATCAATATCCCCTTATTTTCTTTAAATTCAAAATGTACTGTCTATAAGCACGAACTTAGGTATCTATTGATGGACAATTCTTTTAAATCAATCTCGCTTTGTGTAATTAACTTTAACTTTCCATCTTATGAGTATATTGCAATACACAATATATTTAAAGACTTGTAAAACCATTATATAATGGTATAACGTGATATAACGTAGTAATAAAATGGTAAGTTAATTGTTATAAAATATTATATAACGGTTTCTTGTAAATGCTTTTGAATTAAAACTAGCAACTGTTTCTTCTAAATTACAGTATTGATTTTAGATAGTAATTTAGATATGTGCATCCGTGATAAATGGTGCCCATGTGTTGCATCAGAGATTTTCATTTAATACAAAATGATTATATTGTATGTCTTTGTTTGCTTGTAATTTTCAGAATTACACCAATTGTTAAAACTTTATATACCAATCTCAATGTTCAATGAATATTCCCATGATTTTCACTGTGGATAAACTTTGGTCTACTTATTTTACAGCTATCTCGTCTCGTTTAAGGATCTATGAAAACAGTTTTATTGTGACATTACACAATATCAGCAATCTCGTCTTGTTTAATTGTCTTTTTACTTGCTGATCTTTGATAGATCTAAAAGTTTTATTGTGGAAATACTTTATATCAAGTGGTATTAAATAATTGAAACACACAGCGCGTACAAGAACCTTCGCAAGGACATATATAATGACAATGAGTAGTTATAGATCTATGAAATGAAGTTTGATAGTTACGGTACATAAAATTATGTGGTAATCTGCGCGTAAAGGGACCGTATGAAAGACATACATGATTACTGATATAAACTTTCGAGGAGTTCCCAGAATCTCGATTCCAAGGCAATCTAAACGGCAAATTGCTGATAGCATCAACTCACCAAAAAGGGGTGCACACCTAATGGAGTTAACGGAATTATGAATATGGAGAAATAATCGACGGAAAGAACGATGTTTTTTATGAGGCGGGGCAGCATGTCGTAACTGTGGTTTTGGAAGGCGTAATAAAATACAACAAAGTGACAAAATTTCACAAATTATGCATGATACAATACAAATAATAATAGGAAACAGAATTGGGAATTTGGCAATGTTAAACATGATATTGAGTACTCAACCCATCTGCGGACCTGGGCCAGTGGTGTAACAGCACAACATTAAAGAAAATTGAGAAAAAAATAATTTTAAAAGAGCCGATTTGACTTAATAGATCTGTAACCCTTATTGGATAACGGTTCATAGAGCTGTTCTTTTTCAAACGATTGTTTGGTATATGTTCTTAGTTTGAATAATGATTTTAATGCTGGATGGCATCCCGTGAAAATAAACCAAAATTTTGAGCCTCTAGTTGGTATATCGAAGTGCATCAATTTACCATTTAAATTTTGGTGAATAAAGTCTAATGCACCCCCCCCCCCCCTAGATTATATAATGATGTAATAGCGACTTGAAGTCAGACATACTCATTTTTGACCTTTTCAAACTGGACCAAATCACTACTTTACCTAAAAATGCATGCCACAATTTTTTTACATGTAATTTCATCCCCCTACTTACTATTTCGTGCAGAAAATATATAAAGGTGTATAAAAAATAAGCAAGTTATACACTGTAACGAAAATCAAAGGACGATAACTGTGTCCCCGAACCATATGCTATGCCTTTATTAAGGTCATTTGCTGTAAATTTACTGTTACTAAAACTTAATGTCATTCAAAACACTAAAACATTTCTACACTCAAACCATGGACGAGCTTAGCCATTTATGAATGCTTGGTTTTCAATGGACTTAATTGATTTAGCCTTCAAACTGTTTTAAATTAAGCGCCACTAATGAGTCTTTTGTAGACGAAAAGCGCGTACGGTAGATTAAGTTTTAACCCGTGTATCTTTGATGTGATTTCGAAATATATGTATATATGCATGATCATATGCAGACTAAATCCGTCCTGCATAGGATAATGATATTCAGTCTGGTTAAAGAATTGTTTACTTAGATCTTAGATATAAAACAACACATAAAAGTACCAAGTCTATTTACTTTGAATAATTATTATGTACAGAGGATCGCACTTCGAGTCATTTGATTTAGCGTTACCTTAAAGTTGAAAGTCAAATTTATTTTAAAGAAAAATTGCCCACAAATTTACTATGAACAAATACTATCTACTGTATAAACATAATAGTAATTAAAATTTTGGATTTTGCTTCATGGCGATTTTCAGTGAGTTGATATATAATATAAAAAATGTATTCGAAAGGTGATCTAAAATACTTCTGTTTTTAATATATTATTATGGAGGCTGGATACTATTGTGTTGATAACGATGGTATCGGATATCTGTATTACGATTTTTTAAAACAAATTACTGCTTTTTTGATCAATCAGGTGACGGTATATGAATTCAATATTTTGATTCCATGAAGTCAATTGCGAAGCACGACACAATGAGAGAAACAAAACATGCGGGATTGTGCACCCTCGCCCAAAATTAAATACATTTTAAATGAATTATAAATAAATACTGATAAAATAAAAAAAGTTGTATACAGATATGTTACATTTAAGCAGTTTTTAATTCTATTTCATTGTTATATAGATAGCGGCAATAAGTGACATTATGCATTAATTATACTTAAATCTTACGCAGTGGCAATAAGTGACATTATGCATTAATTATACTTAAATCTTACGCAATATAAGATATCTACAAAAATATGTAAGGTATATACAGATTAAGTTCTTAAAATGTGTCGAGGCATTATATGCAATGCCTAAATATAAACATAACAATTAAAGAGACAATCTAATAATCAACTTGTGAGCTTGAAGTTATTGATGAATCAGAGTTATTTACCTAAGTTGTAAGGTTGCTTGCAACGTGTAAATATTAAGTCGCATCTGTAATTTTTCAATGTACAGTTGTATTATGATCGGCCTATGCTCAAACTGCGGTGCTATGGGCCATCTTGAACTTGCCGTGATGTGTGAGCTTAATTTTGCTCAGTGTTGCAAGCAGGTTTCACTGTGACGTTGAGATGAAAAAACAGCAGGAAAGCGCCTTCTATGGATTTTGTATCATGAATTTAATACACCTTATACAGTCTGTTTCATTATATTGTTATGATTATGGATAGTTAGCCTATGTAACTGGGAATATGACTCTTAGTCATATTTCAGCAGTTCACTTTTATTTGTTGGCTATCTTTGTGCATCCAATACCGTACTCAGTGTATGGAATGGAATATGCCAACGCTACAATTAAAACGGCATTATTACAAAAAAATCGACGACTAACATGCAAGTCTTTTTTTTCCATTTGTATGATTAACATAACATTTTTTTCGTTTTATTTTGTTTTGGGTCTTTTTTGGCTGTATGAGTACTAGTAACATGCACAATGTGTTTTGTTAATGCATTTCAAACATTTAGTTTCATTTTAGTAAATGTGTCAAAGAATATTTATTCCGCTTATCAGAAACAGTTTCCCTGCAAACTTTGTCATAAACAATGCCATCATATCTATTCATGTTGGAACAAATATTTTATACCCTTCATTCCGTCAGGAACAACCAGTGGAAATATTACAGAATACTTTTTCCATTTGAAACTTATATCATGAAGGAACTGCTATTTCATGACAAATGTAGGTGTTACACAACTTTAAAGTCTTAGGTCTTGCTTTATTGATAAAACAATCATTATCAAATGTCGTGGGCCCATATCGTAAACCACTGGTATCGTTCTACTTTTTAATTATATACACGCTTATAAATGTTTTTATTTTATTCAAAAAATATAAACCCAAGTGAAAAACCTTTTTTTTCTCAAAAAATTATAAGAAAATATAAGATCACAGTATATGCCAAGTCTTTATATAAAATTATTATTTTTGCCTGTTTTACCGGTGAGACATTGTCGTGGGTGTTGAACGATCTTTACCTTTACTTTTAATCTATATTATTCATAGATAGTGCCAAATGACCATTGACTTAAAGCAAGAAGGTTTCACTATCAAGCGGAAACTAAGCATATCGTTGCAGCTGTATTGACAGTGATTACTATCAGACTGAAATATCATTAACAAGTAGATAATACGAAAAGTAATCATAGAGTCAATTTATGTAGGTATTTCGTATTTACTGTTTCGTGAACTTTTTTAGAGAATGTTCCAAATATTTTATAAATTGCTTTAAAACATTCTTCACCACTAAAGAGGACCAACTATTATATGTTTAAAAAAATTTGTTTATTTTAATAAAATGGAATCATGATATAAATAGTATGATTCAACTTTTGAAATACATATGAATATTAAGAGATAACGTTAAATATTTTATTGAATGATTATACACAAAAAAATTAACAACTTAAATAGTAAAGTTGCTTTGGTTATATATAGAAATATGAGCATCTCTTGGTCTTCTTCCGACCGGCAGTAAACACTTGCCAAAGTGGGGGTCCGTATTGGATGTGCAGGATGTATAAATTCACAGCCACGTCCGGACAGAATGGGGACGTTAAATCCGATACCTCGAATAGAGAGAGTGTCATGATCTCTGCATGTTAAGAACCCCTGCAACAGCTCTTAGAAGGGCCCGTAGGTGGACTATTGTAAGGCTAAATTTCTATCCTTATCCAATATACCCACATTGTCTAGTGGCAGTCCATATTTCCCAACCTTTATCCTGGTCAGTCAAATGACATACCTATAATATTGTATGTATTGGTAATTTGTTCTGGTCCTAAACATGCATGCAATATATGCCACTGGACGTTTAGCAAACAATAATCAATCGATACTATTTCTTATGCAACGGAAACAATGATGTTGCATTATGGGATTGTCATTATTTTAGACTTCTGATTGGTCCAGGCATAATTCACAAAGATGCTCAGACTGCAGATGTAACTTACGAGGATAAAATTTGATTTTCTGAATTAATTCGATTCAGGTTTTCCTTATAATGTTTTTTTTTTTATTTTTATGAATTTGCTTATTTTGTTTGCAGCTTTTTGCAGAAGGGTCAGTATAACATTTCATGAATACAATGAGAAGCTGCGGTCACAAAAATATTCGAAGATAGCTTTTATAAACAGAAGCAATGAACTTGTGATTGTTTAAATATTCAACATTCTGATAGTATGGCACATATAAATGAATAATTGCTCTTGAACATAAGTGGTACTTTCATTTATGATGGGTCTTAATTTATGACATATACTTTAAAATGATGCATTGAAAGTTATTTAAACAGACATATCTGTCAGGATAGAAAATGCGGTGACGAGAAATGAAACTGTGGTGGATAGTTATCTCCTTGGCAAGCATTCCGTATCTCCTTATTTTTATATTGAGAATACAATTTTCGAAGATATACGAATAACAACAACTGTTTAATTTGCAAATCTAAATTTACTCCAACCCTTGCAATTTTCACCATTTCTGTATGAGTGTAGTCTCATAAACGTCACATATGAAAACAAGAAGATGTGGTATGATTGCCATTTAGACAACTCTCCACCAGAGACCAGATGACATCGAAGTTTACAACTATAGGTCACCATACGGCCTTCAACAAAAAGCAAAACCCATACCACATAGTCAGCTATAAAAGGCCCCGGAATGACAAATGTAAAACAATCCAAACGAGAAAACATATCAATATATAGCAGCGAATGAAGCACTTTTAGCAAGAACACAGTTAACTCGAACCGAAAAAATATAAATCCAAATTGAGTAATTAATCATCATCTCATTCCAAGAAGGGGTTTGTCACATGTTTTTTTATTTTTGTAATTGATAAGTATAAAAATGAGGAGATGCCGTTAGGCTGATTTTTTGTCCTTGAACACCACTACAATTGCCAAAATACACAAATATATGGACGATTAGAAAAGAATATCCAAATTTTCTGAAGATATTGATAGAATAAAGTAAATAAATTTAAAGGTAAAATACATTTTTAAGATTTTTATTTTATCAAAAAAATAACATGATATTTCATTAATCATAAAAGCTGTCTGTCCTAAACTAGAATTATGTAATTAAATATTAAACATAAAACGTATTACTTGAGTCATTTCCTTTTTAGTATCATATCATTTAGATAGTTTTATTTTTTTTAAATTTTTTGGGGGCATTAAATCTTTAGTGTTAAATTTCCGAATTTCCGATGTATTAATTCTATATCTTTTTCTTCGGAAATGTAAACATAAGAAATCTGAGAAATATCTGATGCTCTTCAAGTTTTGTAAGAAAAAGATGTCTTACCTTCATCGTGACGTTTCAAATTACAATTTGTCAGGTATCACAGGTGAACCTCGCGAGTTGTCTCATTTGCATACTTATACAAAATTCAAAAGGTACAGAATAGATAAATATTTATACGTTCTTTAGTATATTTGTACAAATATTTTATTTTCATCATTTAATTACAAACCGATGTCTTTAAGAATAGCCTGAGTCCATAAAATCTTGAATTCCAAAGTAAAATTGTCAATATTTGATTATCTACGTTTAATGTACACTGTATCATTCTAAGTGGACAATAATTTTTGGTTTGTGGTCAAAATATAATTAAATGCTCATATAATTTTTGGGAGGCTTTTATATTCAAACAACTAAAAATCTTTATTATACCGATTTTAAAATTCCTTTATATACTCAAGCATCTGATACCCTGAAAATAAACACAAGCCCTAATCTAGGCCAACAATGTTTGATTTGACTAGTGGCAATTACCAATTCGCACTTCTCTTTTTTATTTTAATATTATCGCATTTAGGAAATCAACTTTAACATTGAAAAGTACCGAGGAGTTTATGATAGCTAAAGGTTGATCTTTCCACTTTAGCTACATCCTTGGATTTCAAATATTCGGCTGTGAACGTTCATAATGAAGGTTAGTCAAGAAAAGCAATTCGGACGCATGCAATTTAAAAGGTGTTGTTTTCATTTTTTTTATAAAGTGCATATTTATATTCAGTTTGTGTTCAGAAGAAAAAGTAAAAACTTACAGTTGGATACAGCATGTTGCTTGACTTGGTCTCTGAGAGGATTATTCACCCAGTATTGGATGTTTCGTTATTTGTTTATAACTATTGTATTAATCAGAGAAGTAAAGGATGAGGCACAAGTTTAATATGAAGTCTTCTCATTTACATACTATAACAATTACATAATGGAACAGGTGTATGTATACTTGGTGTCATCCTGGTTTGCCCACATTTAATTGCAGGTTTATAAAAACATAAAGTGTTTTGTTGCTTTAACAATTATAGTTTATTTCTGAATTATAGTCTTATTTTTTACCTTAATTTACCTATCAAATTTTATAAAAGATACTTAATTCTACTATCAAATCGAGGAAAATGTGCAAAAATATTTTTAATAAATTTACCATGAAAATATATTGAATTTAACAAATATTAAAAGAAAATATTGCAAAAATGTTTCCTAATTTGACAAATGAAAGACAATTGTTTTTAATTTACCAGGAAAATGTATTGAATTGACACTGAAATATTAAAAAATAGAATACAAAAATGTTTATTATTTTGACAAACTATCGACAAATTTTTCAAATTATTGGTATCTCCAGAAAAAAAATATGTAAAAAGTAAAATAAAGAAACTAAGAATTAAATATGTGTCATTTAATATTTCATGCTTTTTCAGCCATATACATTACATCGCTCAACTACATTAGTTACAACTTCAACCAGAAACAGTATTTATAGATTACGAGACAACAACCAACACCGAAGCACGGACAGTGTACCCAGGGGTATACCTACGATATATACATGTACACAGAGAGATCATAAACACAATCTAAAAAAAAAATGGTTTCTATGGACACGGTGTTCATGTGCTTTTATTGATATTGATTATACAACAGGAATCTTTATGATTTCTTTAAAGTTTGATCGTTGCTTGCTTTGCGTCCAATAGCAAATTTTTCATGCCTAGTCATGACGAGAAAAAAAATCAAAATGTAGAGTCTGAAAGGTAGGTTGACTAGGTAGAAGGCCTAGAAATTTGAATTTTCACTGGAAAATTAAGGTGTATTGGATAGGGTAAGAAATTTAACCTTGCAACTTGTCTCCTACGGACCATTCAGATGAATGTAGCAAGTGTTCTTAAACGTGAAGAGAATGTGGCACTAACCCTACATTGAGCACAGAATTTAAGATCTCAATTCTGACCGGACGTGACTATGTATTTTTTACATCCGTCACAGTTAAACTGATGCCCCACTTTAGTAAGTTTATTCATGCGGGGCGGGAGAGGTCTGGGTATGACTTTATTTCAATGTCTCAGTCAACTTGTGGTGTTTAGATGTAAACACTTCTTTAAAGGTTTCAGAGTTTTATAAGAATATAAAATTCTGGCTTTTTTTAGTAATCAATGATTGCATGTAGCTGTAACTTGAAAACGATGAATGGTAGTTGATAATATATGCTTGTCACTATACGTCTATCATAGAATTCAGTTTTCTTTTTCCTGTACTGACCTTTGTTGTTTGTTCTTTGATATACCATTCTACCTTTCATTTGTCCACATTTGAGGAAAGTTTGAGATATAAAACACATAATTTAACCCCGACATTTGTTCGTGTACCTGTCCTAACTCAGGAACATAGTCAATGATTACCTTCTGTAATATCTTAATGGTGTTGATTGAAGATATTTGACAATCTTTGTTAAGTTTATTTAGAACTATTAAGACTTGATGCGAAAAAAATCATCAAATTTAGAGCTTGATACATTATAATGACACCTGTTTATTGTTGAAGACTGTATACATTGATCTCTACAAGTGTTCTGGTTTTTGGTGTCGTTGTTTTGCTCTTACATTGACATATAATTCTATTCTTGTGGTTTATTGTATGATGGCCTTAAACACTATTTTAATTTGCGTTGGTCTTTGATTATGATAATGATATTTGGCATGTTGAATTATGCATGGTTGTGGCCAATAAATTAGACGCTTTAGTAAACTCTGTTGTAAGAATAGTTTCCGTTAAGAAGGTATACGGAGACCTGAAGTGGCTTACATTTACGTCCTTTGGTCTTTGGTGGATAGTTGTCTCATTGGTTGATTGATTGATTGTTGGTTGCTTAACGTCCAGTAGCAAATATTGTTTCATTGGCATCATACGAAATCTTATTTTTATATAACGTGTTTGTACCAAGATTCTATCGAATCATCAGCAAAGGAACCAGTTGAATTGTTTAAAACAAATTTAAACTAATGCATAGCTTAATTTGATAAGTCGTCCGGGTTGAGGTATAATTTTGGTCATTTTTGTATTTATAAGCTCCTCATTGTTTTGTATTAGGTTTTTGATTTTCAAATTATTTTGGTCTCGAGCATCAATAAAGAGACAATAATCGTCCAAATGCGTATCTGCTGCAGTAAAAGTTTAACCGTTTATGTTATTACATACACGACGTTGTGGTTTCATAATGATAACACAAAACCCACCGAAGCATACCTTTATAATAAAAACTAACAAAATTTATACCAGAGTTAATAAATTTCATGTACATTACTAGCGCTATATTGGTGCAACAGTAGATCACGCCATTGCCTCGATACTAACATGATAAAATAACACATTTTTATCGTAAATTAAAAAAAAAATCAACCGAAAAATTTAACAAAATCCAAGACAGAGCTGACCTAAGACATCTACAATTTACTTTTTCTGTTAGGCTCCATTCTAGTTTTTGGTGCTCTTTACTGTTTTATCTGCTTGTTTCCCTAAAAATTGGTCTTGCGCTTACTTGGTGAACGCTAACGTGCCTGTCCCAAGCCAGGAGACTGTAGACAGTGATGGTCGTTTGATTGCCGCTTGTCATAATATTAGTTTTTCGTTTTAAGTTATATACTTAAATCAGGCCGTTAGCTATCGCGTTTGAATTGTTTATTTTTCATTTTAATAAAGAAGCGGTAGATACCATGAGTGGCATTCAAAACTCAAAATTAAGACGAGAGACAAGTTGTTGTTTACATGCTCGTTCTTTGTTTAGTGGTGGTTGGTTATCTCGTTACCACATATCCCTATTTGCATACTTATCGTGCGCAATGAAGATATCGGTTTTACACGTTTACTTTATAAATAATGTTTTTCATCGAACATATACTTTCCAGCATTTTCCACAAAATAAATTTTTCGGTTAAGACTCTAATGAACAATTGCATTATAATGGTTTAACAATCTGAAAACTATCACTACACACCAGGGGTGCGCTCGGTTGGCGAGTTCCAGACGATCGGAATGCAAGGAATCAACCTGATGTTCAATAAAACAAGACAGAACTGTGTTCTGAACGCGTTCCAAGTGTGCCAAAAATATATTAGGTGCAGACAGAATTCAAAATGGCGATGAAGGGAACTGAAAGGTAAAGATACACTAATCTTTAGCTTTCAGTGAAATAAAAACTGCAAATTGATAATCAGTTCAATCAAGGATTTGTATAGTATAAAGACTATACAAATCATTGGTTCAATATATATCAACGTATTTGATCATATAAGCATTATTTTAAGGGAAACTATGCAATAAAACTCTCTTTTTCTGTCAGAATAACACTTTATAGTGGCCGTCAGATGTCTTTTTCGTATATTGATAATTATGACGACTTTGAAGTAAGAAATTTTTATTTGGACTCTAAAAAATGTCATGTTTTGATTGGAAAGGCCAAAAGATGCAGCCTACGGATTAGTGAAGTCAGTTGCAATTATGTCTTGCCAATAGAAAATTCAAATTATTTATTATCATCTCGTAAATTCGTATATATTGTTATAGATTAAGTAAAATTAAATAAAAGATAAAACAATAAAAAATAAAAAACACAAGCTACAATTCATTTGCCGAGTTGTTCATTTTGATTTTGTTAATGAATAACAACAGGCCGAATTTGTTATGGTCCGAGTTTGCTATAGGCCGAGTTTGGTTTAGGCCGAGTTCACCAGCAGTGAGATACATCCGGTCCAAATCGTTCGATTGACGTCTGGATTCTGAACAGATGGAACCTGTTCAGAACACGCCAACCGAGCGCACCCCAGGTATCCCGATACTTAATCCGCGGAGGGATCCGAATCCCGGGGAGCAAATAATTAAAAGTTTGTAATAATGGGTAGGTAAAATCTGGATCCGATTCCCACGGAGCATAATTCCTCCGTGTGCACTATATGAATAGCTTTTTTTTTTTTGATAAATACAATTATTGGTAATCAAATTGAGACAGTAGCAATGAAAATCGGTGA